TCTGGTATGTCAACAGTTGACATAGTTGAATGTAAAAGGGTGGTATCTAAGGATGACAGTATATTTAATGAGAGCAATCGTGACACTTTTAATGATGAAAGTAATTTATTCAATGCTTCCTATGTAGAAAATGAAAGAGATTCTAACCAACTTTTTGATCAAATGCTAGACAATAATGGTGGACCCAAAGTTACAATAGAAACTAAGGATAGCAAAGCTGCCTCCAATTTGGACCATGCAAGAATAATTAGTGAGGTTTTAAAGAAATATCCTCATCTTGTCAAAAGCAATAAAAATATTAAGTTGAAGATTCTGGATCCTGTACCTGGTAAAGGAAAGAAACAAGCAAAGTCAGCTGCAGCTCCTAGCTTTACAGAACCCAAGTCATTAAGTGTGAAGACAGATGAAGAAGACTTTACTTATGAAACTGATGTAATAGATTCCAAACAGGCCGCAAAACTTATTGCAATGGGAGCAGAGAATGTTAAAGGACCTTGGATATGTTTAATCTGTGGTACCCCAGGAAAAGCTCTACATTTCAACTCATATTACAAATTCCGCCGCCATTTGGTAGATGTGCACCATGAGAAACCTGTGGCTAACATTTGTGAATACTGCGGACTTCGATCTTTGAAGAGGAATTACTTGCTTCACCATCTTTATGCTCAACATGGTGTTCAACCTCCACCACAATATCACTTCCCTAAGTGTAATATGTGTTCTTATATTGCTCTTACTGAGGGTCTCCTTGTCAAACACAAGCTAACCCATAAAGATATTAGAAATTTCCGCTGTAATGTTTGTTCTGTTGCATTCGCATCCTCTAGTCAACTACTAATACACATACAAAACACAGGTCACAAATACAGCTCTGAGAGGAAAAATAATTTACAGTGTATTTATTGTTTGAAAATATTCCTGCGGGAGTCAAACCTTTATGCACATCTTAAAACACATCACAAAAAAGAAGCAAAGACTGACTGCATAATTGACTCTTCCGATGATGAAAAAATTGATGATGAGAGGCCAAGATCAATTAATATTAAATATGAACCTAGTACAAGCTACGAAAATGATTTTGAAGAGGTGGATATACAATATCCTAGTCACCAAATATCAACAAGTGACAAACAGTCTACACCTAGAAGACAACCTGTCACTAATGCAAAACAAAAGATTTTAAATCCTGGCTTTAGTACACCAAAATCTAACCAAAAACCTAAGCCTGGTAAAATCAGCAGTAACTTTCAATCTCAAAATGATTTCTTCCATGATGTAAAAATACCTATTGAATCTACTAATGAAGAGATTGTAGTAATAAACAATGATGAATATATCATGAAAGACAATCAACTTATTCCAAGAAAAAAGACCCTCAACCAGGACTTTATCCTAGCAGACATAGGTGAACCAGATTCTGTGCAACCTACCACATCTGTAGAATATGCTAATATGGAAAATGCCAATATTGAAGAGAATGTTCAACCACAGTCCAGTATGATATTAAAGAAATCTGTAAATTTAAATCAACCAATACAAATTGTGGTATCGAATGATGAAGAGTATAAAGCATTAATGAATTCAAACCACCCTATTCTATTTGACAATGGTGACGCTACAAAGACACTTACTGTATTAACTACACAACATAACACAGGAATAGAGACAGGTAAAATAGATTTGGATAATACTACATCTAGTGAAATGATGATACTTCCTAGTGAATATCCTCTGAATGTCTCTGAAGCTGTGTCTACAGATAACCCTAATATTGTGGTTGTATACAGTCATGACGACCAGAATAAGCAATTCCAGATACTTACCACAGGTGATATAGGAGCACAGTTTGTGCAATCTTCTGGAATGATAACACAGGCCTTTGAAACTGTAACTACTGCCACAACTGCAATAAATCAGGTTGAACAAAACTGGCAAAACAATATAGAGAGTTTGGAAAGTCAACAAATGCAAATGACTCACCAACAGCATACTGAACATAATGCAACTACTGATAATTTAGATCACATTGCAGAAGTGCATATGATATCTGAACCACAAAAAGAAATTGTTTCAGGTGGGTCTGAAATTGCTTTGAATCCTACAGATGGAATTATTGAACAAATGAATAATCCTACTGAAGATAATATTAACAGTGAACCAAGCATTATCTCGACAACAGCTTGTGATACTAATGACACCCACACTGACCAAAATAATATTGTAGAACCAATGCAAATACAGAATGTGCTGGAACAACCACTAGAAAATACAATGAAAGTACCACCAGTATCAGAAAATATTATTGAACAGCCAATGGACACAGAAAGTATGATTGAACAGCCAATTGGTATAGAAAGTATGCAGGAACAACCAATGGAAACAGAAAATATTGAACAACCAGTACAAAATGAAAATATAACAGAACAAGCTATTGAGACGGAGTATGTTATTGAACAACCACTTGAAGCAGATATTGTTATGGAACAACAACTAACAAATGAATTAGAAATATCAATAAACACTGGAGGTCCAAGTGAACCAAAACAAGTAATGGACACTGAAAATAAAATACAAGAACCAGTAATGGGTGCAAATATTGCGGAACAAACAATGGGATCTAGAAATATGATAGAACAACCAGCAGAAGATGCAACTGTTCTAGAGCACAGAGTACCTTCAAATATACTAGAACAAGCTATTGAAAATGAGAATATTATGGACCAAACTCAAGAATTACAAAACATACTTGAACAGCCAGTAGAAAGAGAGAATATTCTAAAACAATCTTCTTCCATTGAAAACAGCACTACCCAAACAACTCCACAAGTCAACACAGATCCTAAAAATACATCTGAATATCCAGAAGTTGTTAAATCTGATGAGAGTATTGTGAATACTGAAAGTCTAAACCAACAACCTCAAGAGCTAATGGAATCACAAGCATATGACGATATTGTCGAAATTAACAATCCCTCTCAAGAACAAACTGTAAATCCTAAAGAAACTGAATCTAAGATCCACAACTTGGCACTAGAATGGTCAGAGGATGAATATGACATCAGAGAAAATCAAGATCATAACAATACAACCGCTAAAACTAATACTGAAACGCAGAAAATTCCATTCATTGATGATGCACCAGAATTGGAAGAATCAATAGAAAACATTCAACAAGAAATGCAAAAACAAATGGCTAGTCAACTAAATCAAATTGAGACACCAGATGTGGAAACTGAAGAAAGTACAGTTTCTTCACAAGAAGAGGACTCTTCAAGCCAGGAGATGCAGCTGCCGCCGTTAATAGATTCGCCAGTACATGGACCTATACCCAATCCTCAGGTACAACAAAAGTTGTCATCCTTGCTAAATGATTGGGAGGACAATGATTCCCAAGAGGATATCATTCAAGATAACTCCACACATGAAAATATTTTGCCAAAAGCAGACACTAATAAGCCTCGAGACATCCCAAAAAATGATAATATCAGAAGCTTGGTTAGTGACTGGGATGATGACGATGATAAAGAGTAAAATAGTAACAAGATACTCATTCAAATTATGTGTATGACTTAAGCGACACCATCAATTGTATTTTTTCTCAATCTTGATCTAACAAATTATTTTACATTTTATCTGTTTTATATTGAAATATTATTTTAGTTTTAAGTAGTACTATTAGCATTTTAAGTATAGCATAGTAGTATATAGAATTTACATGCATCATGTATATAGCAACAAGTTTATTTGTGTATATTATGGTGTGCCCAATTTCCTAAATTATTACTTACCTATGTATTCTGAAAAAATCTTACATTTACGCTAGATGTGTATGAAACATTTTACCTTTATTAATTGGGACACCTATTTGTAAGGTATACCATGAACTAATGTGGCAGGAAGTGCTAATACTTTTATAGAAATGTAAACCCTATTATATTACCCATATCCATCCTAACAATATTACATTGTATACAATAAAATAGGCAATAATATGTAATTGTATAATATTTTTTTCTAAAATAATAAATGTATTTCATAGTGTATAATTATGGAAATGATACTGAAAACCTTTTTAAGTTAATAAATAAATGGGTTCATAATAAAAGTTTCAATTTATTTTCCACAAATAAAACAACATTTCATATAAAAATACCATTTTACTAGATTTAAAACAATTAGCAGTTGCTAAAATCAACAGTACAATGATTATAATCATATATTTGTATGATGTGCGCAACATTACATGGCAAATGAAGGACATTATTATTATTGATACATTTTTTTATCTTAGAATTTACAATGGGAAATGGCTACACAAGTAATGAAAGAAGTAAATGATTGTGGATATTAAGTACTATTTTATCAGGATGTGTGTGAATTCAAATAAAATAAATCATTAATCCATATAACTTAAAAATAATTTGCACATAAGTAACATTAATTTCTTACCTACTTGTTGAATTTGTGTTACAGAAATGTATGTAGGTAACGACAAGTAGTACCCAATTCTGACACATTAAAATAGCACTAGTGATAAACAACAGCAGATTTTATATAGCACAGTTTTATTTTTCAAATATAATATTCATACATGGACAACACAATTTAAATGCAGCAGTAGGCATATTGATTATTGAAAGATTAACAATTTTGGACTCATGACAATAATATGATTAACATTGTATAAATGTCAAAATATAAAGCTAGCATAATAGCAGCACATTAGGAAATAGTTTAATTCAAACAACTTTACATTCATTATTTTACTTGGAAAAAGAACAGACAGTCAAACAAACACAAGCAGCATTAACTTTTGAGATTATTACATTTATATAATAACTATCGTGAGACATACTAAAAATCGCAGGTTACTCACGTGAATATACTGAGAAAAGTTCTACTAGTTTCTCTACTCTCTCTACTTGTCTAGAGTAGACTGCGCGACATCGCCGCGACCACGCACGCTGCTCATGAGGAAGAACCCCACTGTGGTCCGAAACTAGTAGAGCTTTTCTCAATATATTCACGTCAGTAAACTGCGATTTTTAGTTAATCATTACATTTATTTGTAAGTTTATAACTTGACCATTATTGACAAATGTCTGTCACACTAAAAGCTATTTGCAATATTAACTGAGAATACTTGCAACAGTGAAAAAGTATCACATTATACTACATTACTTCCACTAATTTAAAACACACTACCTAGCTATTCATCACAAAGAATTCTAAAACCTATGAATGTGTGAATACAAATGTTTACAGTAACAATGAAAAGTGCTTGCCCAATATATTGTATTATAAAACAAAGTTTTTATTCTTTACACTACAATGTTACACATATAATTTACACTAAACAAAGTTGCAAAAGTGAAATAGCACTTTGGAACAAAAGAGATCTTTCTATGCTTCTCCAATTGGATGTGAAACTGATATTGAGAGATATAATTTTAAAGTTAAAGAGCTGGTAACTACACTTGCAATAAGTTTATACAATCCAACAGTTTAGCTTAGAACTTGTTACAATATCTGAATGAGGAGAAAACTGCCTTTATATGCTGCTTCCCGCCGTCTGCTTTATTTTGTCGTCTCACCTGTCAAAATCCATACTAATTTACATCTACAAAAGTAAACAAATGCCGCAAAAAAAATACTTTTCGCAGTCTTACTGCCATACTCAAGAGACATTAAATTTTATAACTGATGATTATTTTGGCTAAAATAAATATACTGTATGATTATACCAGTATGGTGTGATTAATTCATGTTATGAATATATATATATTTCAGTATATTTCATAACATGGTTAATAATAGACAAATTTTCTTGAAAAATATATGATATTTAAAGTCATAATAATTATTATAGGTAACTATGTGACATTATTAAAAAACTAAGTAAATAATAATAGAATATAGTATTAGGTTGATACGAAATGTCAACCAAATACAAGAAAGCAGCATTGATGATAGAAACGTCTATATTCAGCTTTGCATTTTTCTCCCCATTACTATTGAGTATATCAATAATGTCTTGTCACACAAACAACTTTCATAATATAAGGTACATCCCGTACATAGTCTGTATGCTTAGCACAATGTCATATTAATTAATAACTTCAAAATTTGCCTCTAATGGAATAATATGTATTTACAAAATAAATTACAATATTTACATTAAAAATACAGCATGACTAATCGTTGGATATGGAGACTAAAACATATTTTACCATGTATGCAAGAAATACAAAGCCTACCAACACAAATAAATTGGTCAAAATATAATACATATTTGATTGTTGCTCTGTTATCACTTCACCTGGGCTAGGAGCTGTGGTGTCCGCATGCAGCATGGCCTCCTGCCGCAGTTTCAGCTGCTGCTCAATCTCCTGGACATAATCCGGAAACAGCTCACAGAACATTTTGTTTTTTATATTTGTCTCCAAAGACTCTGCCGCCAAGCAACGTTTTTGGAAATCTGAAGTTTCAACAGAGCCCAATGTTGGTGTTTTTTCTAACATGAAGCTTAGCAAACCAGTGAGAATTGTAGATATTGACCACGCTGGGTTCCATGTATCGGGATGGAAGTCTGTAATGCTAAGGCACAGTCGAGTATTCGTCTTGAATCGTCCGTTCGGTGTAATCATATAAATTGATGGCGGTTTGAAAGGGAACTCCCTCGGAAATATGATTTTTCCATGGTAGTAGCCACCCTCGTAAGGACTTTTTTCTGGGCCTTTGACGACGTAATGCCATTCTAAAATATTTGATGGCACTGGTTCTGCCGTCACATATGGAACGGGGTCATTTTTCAGCCTAAGGTAATCTTGCTTCAGCCTGCTAGTAGCTCCTGTAACTTTGGTTTTAGCCATGTCTTAGCACAAAAACGCACTCATACAATATTGCAATGTGTCGGTGATTATCACTGCAACCATACACTTATTATTTCTTCAGTATAGCTTTAAATTACAATTTTTGGTCGATTAAAATCAATCATTAATAAATAAAATAATACGTCAAATGATTTGCAATCATACGATACGTCATGTCGTCCAAAGAGAATAATAAAATGTCGTCATTCGAAAATAGAGTTGCGCATAGGTGACGTAAGATAGTAACTAAAATTGACTATTCTCTATTATTTTTGTAGTCGAGTTTGTAACATGGAATACTCACTCACTATACAATAATTAATTTATGAATAACCTTGCTATTATTCAAAAGACAAAAAACTTGGTAGGTCCGCAGATGCCAGATGGATCGCAGATATAAGCCAAATTAGAAGCACCACGAGGCAGGGTCATCTTAGACTATGCTGAGGCTCTTGGGCACACAATAATTCGGGGCCCCTTGGGAATGGTTTTTGTTTTTTTGAACCCAGACACGAAATAATAATTTGTGGAACACACAGACTTGCTCTGTGCGAGAATCGAACCCATTATCGATTGCGCGGCAGCCTGTTGCCGCGGGTACAGGCCCCTTATGTATGGTAAAGACGGTACTGAGCAGAGGTATGCCAGAATCGTGTCATTTGGCATCGTTTGCCACGGAATATAGAATACAATGGAAGTAGCTTGAAACAATATTTCTGCCAGAACCGGTGTCGCCAAACTAATACATTTATAATTTACTCATACTATAAATCGTAAGTTACAATTGGTTAGAAAAAAAATGGGGCGTAAACGAAATGCAAACAAAATGTCATACGATATGCAACTTTAAAATCAATGCACTATAAATCAAAATAAAAAAGTATATTTTGGACTACCAAGTACCGCTATTCGTCGCTAGATGGCGTTTAACAATGCCATCTAGCGACGAAAAGTGGTACTTGGTTTGAACTTTAACGTCGTAAGAATAAAGGTGATATTTGAATGGCTTATCACTGGCTCGAATGCGGGTCTCTACTCAGATAGTGATGTAGCCTAATTCGATAAAAATAATATCGATAATATGAAAATGTGTTTTAAAAATAATATGAAAAAAAATATTGACTGCTATAGTGTGACAGTATTAAAATAATAAAATTAATATGTCGTTGATAACTTTTTAAACGTAACAAAAAAGGGTAAGTATTTATTTACATGTAAATCAAAAACCATTTTGTTCGTATTTTTTATTAGTTTCTTTTTTCAAAAAATCATTTTTTTTATTTCACATAGGCAATATAAGTAACAACTATTACATAATTTTTTACAAACTTTATATAGATAATGTGATAAGGATGACGGTGCTGATCTGCTCCGTGAAGTGAAGGTTGCTTCCAATCACGTCGGGGTCACCACTAAAATAATAATAAAAAAATAATCTAAATAAATGTTACATTACACTTGCATCGATATTAATCGATAAATATGTAACTTGACCACATCACTATTTGAGTAGCGTAGAACTGGCGAGAATGTTCTATTGAATGGAATAAATCCAAAATAAACTTTATCTTGAAGGCGTAAGGTTAATTTTGACTAACCGTTTTAGTAAATAATATTATTTTAATAACCGTTTTTGTAAATTGAAATAAAATAAGATTTTAACAAGAAAACAATGAAAATTGTACTTACCGATGATACGAAACACCTCCATTTTTACGATTTTTCGGCTGCTATCATTTTTACACGCCAAAACGGAACAAAACGGCATAGTTGAGGAAATATGTATTTGTCACGAGACTAGCAACTCGACGCCATGTTCGATCGAGACTGAACTCGAATTTGCCTCGAGTAAGCTGTACACTGCTCAGATGTGGCACGCGTGCCACGCCTACTTGCTACTTCCATTGTATTCTATATTCCGTGTCGTTTGCATACCCTCAAAGAGTATAAAAGTATAGGGAAACCTAACCCAATGGAAGGCAGGCGTGACGTACTTGTGTGAAAATCTGCGATTGCACAAAAATATTATTTATTGGCCGGCTCAGTTCTCATATACCTACTAATAATATCCATGGCTAACAGTGCCAAAACGGACTACAAAAAGGCATATTATTATTAAAAGAAAATTCACAGAAACATGAGAAAAACATTTTATTTTTATTAACAAACCCGTATAACATACGATACATCATTGTCAGCGTCAGTCACAAAGTGTATTAACGAATTAACAATATGTACTTTATGACAACAAAACATGATAATAAATAACAACGACCTTAATGATTTTATTTTAATTAACATATTTTTAACTTTATATATGTGTACATATATAAAAACAGTTGAGGGATTTATTCAGGTGTATGTTATATACGCTGCAGCATCCTTCGGTTAATATTAATTATGAACCACGAAGCCAAGGATAAGACTTGTCACCAACTTATCATTTGAAAGTGTACTGAAGCCAGCACATCAATGCACCAGTCGGTTAAAAGCTTTAATACATCTTACTTGATCTTACATAGTAATGATCATTGCGTCAATCATCATTTATTTAGAAAATTAAATGCGTTAATAAAGCGTTTATTTTAGGGCTGTGTAATCAACATAATACATATTTATGTTGTATGTATATTTTAATTTTATTATTAGAGATGCGACTTTATTGCAAGTAGATCAATCGTCAACCTCATTTTAAATTTCATCAATAAGGTTGATAATCCTTTACACAGTTTCACATCAACAGAAGCTACTTTGCTACGCTGGCACCTGTACCGAAACGACCAGAATAAAATATAGTACACAACATATAGTTTTATCTATACAATAGTTCTATAAATTCGAGTATTAATCTATTTTCTATTTATCCATCGTCAAGTGCCACAATTAAGCAACATACTTCGTATTTCATGGTTTAAATGTTTGAGCATTTCTTCATCTGGGTTGTCCTGTTGTACTAGGCGATCGCGTTGCGCAATCAACTCGTTAATTTTCTCGTTCATTGGATTCTTTGGTGCGTTCCTGCAATTATAGATTAAAAATGTATTACAAATACAGGTCTAAAGGTTTATATTCTCCTGATTTTCCACTGTTCTTAAAGTCTATTCAAAAATAAATACTTACTTCAGATCGTTAAACATCTCCAATTCCTCAGGTCCAGCCGGATCTGAAATTAATAAATATAAATAGGTACAAAGTCAAAGTCAAAGCATTTATTTCAATTAAACCATTATTTGGTACTTTTGAAACATCAACAAATACAAAATAAATAATAGTCTGTCAATCAGTCCGATAATGAAGCTAGGTGAAGCTAGGTGCTCATTCCAAAATGTAGATTCGAATGGAGAAGAACGAGCAAGAAACTCCATTCGTTACTCTTTTTAAAAAAAGTATGTATTAGGTAGTGTTTTAGTCTAAATAAACCTCTTTAAATCCACACTGCTATTTAATCAAGTATGGTTAAGACTCAATACCAACTGATTATTTCATCAATAAAATATCTATATAAATAAAAATTAATTTTCGTTCGTTACTCTCGCTAAAAGTAGAGAACGGCTGAACCGATTTGACTGATTTTGGTTTTAAAATGTTCGTGAAAGTCCAGGGAAGGTTTAAAAGGCGAGAAAAGGGGGTTTATGAAGCGAAGTTTCCAGGTCAGCTACCATTGAAACAAATAATTATATTAATGACTTACTTATTATAGAATGCGTGTTGAGTGCAGGCGTGTTCGCAAGTATGTCCACGTAGAAATCGTCTTTCAACTTCCTCAGGTCGATAGGATTTTGGTTTATATTGATTTCCTCCTCATCTTCTATTGTGTCCAGTCTGAAAAATAGCGAGCAAGTTAGCGCGAATGCTTATTATTATTATTTATAGTTAATGGGCCGACCGTTGTCACAATCTCGCCTGGTGGTAAGCGATAATGCTGCCTGCGATGGGACATGCCTGCCTATAAGGAACCTATTCTTTAGGGCCTTGAAGACCAGGTTATACCCTTTAAGAAACACAGACTCTGGCAAAAAATCCCATTACCTAGCAATATTCAAAAATAATTAATGTTTACATGATATTTATTATTGCTCCATGTCCTATATAAATTCTTCAGGTCGTAATGATATATAGGGAAAGGATTGTACATTTTGCCGGGAATATAACAAGCGGATATTTAATTGGGGCGACTTGTGACAAGGGTATGAAGCTGATGCTTTGTTTGTTTGCGGTTCAATGCACCTTCAAATCTGCATGTGTTACTATAATTTTGTATTTCAATCGTTTATATGTGTTGTCCATTGTATTGTAAAGTAGGATAATAGACGGTATTAGACAGTGTTTGAAAAACAAAATGTATGAAATAAATGCTTTGGCTTTTTGAGCTTTTAAAAACCTATAAATACTTCGCCCGACCCGGGAATCAAACCCAAGATTCCTTGCCCAGCTAGTCCGTCGATTAGATAATGAAAAAATATTAGACACAAATTTTTTTTTTCTTATGTCGTATAAGAAAACAATACTTAGATAAAACAGAGTTAAGTTTAGGATTGGGAGGTCGTGACTTCACGCTATCCTATAATATGTAGTAAATGGTGACGTCACACGATATTTCATATTTCATTATGTCGTCGAACGTATTTGATTTTTAAGAAAAGAGACATAGTTACGTGTCTAGTGTTTTAAAATAATATACCAGACTGACATTAAAATAAAATTAGGATATATTTTTTCTCCTGTCCGGTTATAGCTACAGAGACAAACTAGAGAAAAGAATAGTGTATAAGTTCACCGCATATGGTCGAGTTGCTTCCTGTCCTGCTGTAGCTGTGAGAGCATCTGTTTCCGAGTGGCGAGCTTCACCAGGTGCAGCTCTCGGACGGCGCGCCCCCACTGCTCTTTGAAGAAAGCTTTCGATTGCACCGCGCTATCTAGTTTCTCTTCTAGGTAACGCTGTTAATATGAAAAATGGTGTTATTAGTTATTATATTATGACTGCCTCGTTGGCCGAGTGGTTGCGAGTGCGACTGCCGGGCAAGGGGTCTCGGGTTTGATTCCCGGGTCGGGCAAATTATACTGGGTTTTAAAAAAATTCTCAGTAATAGCACGGAGTCTGGAATTGTACACGGTATATGGCAATAGGCTCACCCTGTAATATATGGGACTCATAACATAAATAGTGAAAAGTGGGTGTTATATTGTACATTGGCATAATGTGCACCTCTGCCTACCCCTTTGGGGATAAAAGGCGTCATATAATGTGATGTTATTTATGTTATATTATATTTTAGTTTAATCGGCGTTTGGACATAATCCCGATAGGTAGTTCATGTCATTATTGCGAGATCGTGACTATAGATGTTCTCTCTCCTCTTTTCAATTTCACTATAATATATTTTTTAATTAAACTTACCAATTCCTGTATAAGACTCGCGGTTTGATCTTTTGTTAGACCGGAGTATCGACTCTGCGATTCCTTTTCAGTGTTCTTTATGTTGTTCTGAGAATAACATTAATGTTTACTATCAATCAATGTCCCATCTAAGACTTAAAATTTACGCTCTCCTGACACTCTCGATCCTATAACCAACCAGTTATCAAATGGCGCTCGTGTAGCTATAGGCCCTGTTTGTATGTTTGACATTAAGAAATGAAATCTCCTGAATTTGTATATAATTAGTGAATTTTGTATCGTGTCAAATCATTTAGTGGTAAAATTTGGATACCTATTTATTTAAATATTAAAGAAATAGGACTCCACTATACATTTAAACCAAATAGTGAGCATAAAATACGGTAGTTGACAGGTAGTCAAATTCAATACTTTTATTGAAATGTAATAAACTATATTTTTCTATGAATTTTGTATTGGATCGCAACTTATGACGTCATCATATTTCTGCGTCAAATATCATACTTATTTCCTTAAAATTAGCAAGAAAAAATTCAAAGGTAGGTCAATTGTCAAATCAATGTATGAGACTATGATTCTTTTTTAAATATTTATTGCATTGAAAAGTTGAAACAATTTATTTTAAACCTAGGAAACTAGCCATCGCCGATACGGAGTCGCGGAAGACTTAACGGGTGACTGGGGCTCTGGCTCAAAGTGCAGGAGTACGAACGGGATGGTTTTTAGTCAGTAAGTCTGACACTCCCTCTCGCCTCACCCGGGCGGGAGAAGTCATTGGATGATTTTCCCCCCTCAAAAAAAGGAACCTAGCCAATTATCTTAGTTTCAAAGTCTACCTTGAGCAATTCCACTTGCTTCTGTAGTTGTTCTAGATTGAGCTGCAACTCGTGTATGGTCATGTCTTTGAGCTTGAGTTGATGGTTCATGTCGTCCTCCATCTTCTGTGACGCTTGTCTCAACTCCTGATACTTCGCGGTGTAATGGGATTCTAGAGCTTTCTTGGCTTCTAGCAACTGGAATGTAATTACCATAATCCTTTTATTATATGAAGGAGTAAATAGAAATATATATTTAATATTAAATTGTACATCACATAACATGTCGCCTTTTATCCCCATAGGGGTAGGCAGAATTGTACATTACAGCAATTAATGCCACTGTACAATGTAACGCCCACTTTTCACTATTTATGTTATGAGTCCCATCAAGTCCCATGTAATAGGGGGTGAACCTATAGCCATATACCGGGCACAATTACAGACTCCGTGCTACTACTGAGATTTTTTTAAAAAACCATGTAATACGTTGCCCAACCCGGGAGTCTAGAATCGTCTCCGGTATATGGCAATAGGCTCTCCCCTACTACATGGGACTCATACCATAAATAGTGAAATTTGGGTGTTACATTGTACAGTGGCATTACGTGCCGTAAAATGCACATCTGCCTGTCCCTTCAGGAATAAAAGGCGTGATGTTATACATGTTACATATATATAAAGATAAAAAAGTACTGTACCTTTTTCTCCCTCTCACAGTTCCTGTACCCCCTAAGCCTGAAGTCTTCAGTAGCTCTGCTGAGGTCCGCGGCGAGGTTGCGACACTGTTCTATACCCTTGCTTAGTTTACACTCCAAGTCCACTTGCTTCTTCGCCCACTCCTTAGCTAATAGTTCCAGGTGATACTCTTCTTTACGTTGTAGCTGTAATTTTATTTCATTATCAATTATTTTTCGACTTATTAAGTGTCAACGGTAGTTAACAGGTAGTCAAATTCAATACTTTTATTGAAATGTCAAAAACGATACTTTTCTGTGAATTTTGTATTGGATCGCTACTTATGACGTCATCATATTTCTTCGTCAAATATCATACTTATTTCGTTAAAATTATCGAGAAAAAATCCAAAAGTAGGTAAATTATCAAATCAATGGATGAGAGTATGATTACTTTTTAATTATTTATTGCATTGAAAAGTTGAAATAATTTATTTTAAACCTAGGAAACTAGCCAATTCTTAACATCTGATCATTTTTAGTTATTTAAAGTTTGTAAGTAAGTCAATTTAACTGACGTCGGCTGCAAATGAAATATTATGAGAAATTAACTAAATATCGAGAGTTACACACGTTTTAGTTATGTTAATTTAGTATGTCTCACGATAGTTATTCTAAAAACATTATGAGAAATGTTGCAACATACTTGACACTTAAACAATTCTTGATGTTTCTCCTTCCAGTCTTCGAGTTCATCAATAAACTTCTGCATTATGGCGTCGCGTTCTAACGCCGGAATCATTTTCTTCACCATTTCTGTGAACACAAAAAAGTTTGAATAATTATAGTTATTTTCAAATTGTATGTGTTATGTAACAGTAACACATGAACTTCCAAAGTGAAGAGAAAAGATTATCTTTACATCAATACATTTAATAAAATCGTAGGAAAATCGAATATTTTTTAAAAGAATGCTTCGGGCGTGATCTACAGTCGATACTGAAACCAAAAATATGTTTTTAGAATTTTTGTCTGTTTGACTGAATGTATGTCTGGGATGAACTCAAAAAGTGCTGCATGGATTTGCTTCAAATTTTGCATGAATATTCTAACAGGTCGGGTCAATATATAGACTTCATATTATTATTCTATCAACTACGCATGAAATAGTGATTCACAGCTCCTCTCCAGTATCACTATTCCACGCGGATAAAGTCGCGGGCTCAACTAGTTGATAAATAAAACCGAAAAACAAACATATACCTTTTTCATTTTTTGTGATACAGGTATCACTTCTGCTTGTCTCCAGTATAACAGTTCTGAAAATTGATTACAATATTTGGTCACAAACAAACATTCATTTAATCTGCCTATAAGGGGCCATCCATAAATTACGTCACACGTTAAGGGTAAGGAGGGAGTCGACGAAGTGTGACATTGTGTGACAAGGGGGTGGGAGGGATCCAAAACTTTGTGATGTCACATTTCAAAACAAAACCGTTTAAAAACTATTATAATTTTCGTTAAAATACGAAATATAATTGTATTAATGTTTTTTATTTTGTTAATTGATTTGACATTAATATTGAATTATTAAAAATATTATTTAAAAAAAATGCTTATTCAGCTCTTTATCACTTTTTTTATTTGCATGTTATCTGTGTTTCACATTTCATATGGTGCACAAAACATATATAGTCTATATAACAACCATCCCAAGTAATTTTGTAATTTAAATTTATCCTATGTTTGTATAGTTGGTAGCTTCAAGTTTGCCCCATTGTTATTGCCACGGAATATAGAATACAATGGAAGTAGCAAGTAGGCGTGGCACGCGTGCCACAGCTAAGCTGTGTACTGCTTACTCGAGGCAAAATTTGAGTTCAGTCTCGTTCGAACATGGCGTCGAGTTGCTAGTCTCGTGTCAAATACATATTTCCTCAACTATGCCGTTTTGTTCCGTTTTGGCGTGTAAAAATGATAGCAGCCGAAAAATCGTAAAAATGGAGGTGTTCCGTATCATCGGTAAGTACAATTTTTATTGTTTTCTTGTAGAAATCTTATTTTATTTCAATTTACAAAAACAGTTATTAAAATAATATTATTTACTAAAACGGTTAGTCAAAATCAACCTTACGCCTTCAAGATAAAGTTTATTTTGGATTTATTCCATTCAATAGAACATTCTCGCCAGTTCTACGCTACTCAAATAGTTATGTAGTCAAATCACATATTGAATTTATCGATTGATATCGATGCAAGTGTAATGTAACATTTATTTAGATTATTTTTTTATTATTATTTTAGTGGTGACCCCGACGTGATTGGAAGCAACCTTCACTTCACGGAGCAGATCAGCACCGTCATCCTTATCGCCATCCCTCTCATTTATCACATTATCCATATAAAGTTTGTAAAAATTTATGTAATAGTTGTTACTTATATTGCCTATGTGAAATAAAAAAAATGATTTTTTGAAAAAAGAAACTAATAAAAAATACGAACAAAATGGTTTTTGATTTACATGTAAATAAATACTTACCCTTTTTTGTTACGTTTAAAAAGTTATCAACGACATATTAATTTTATTATTTTAATACTGTCACACTATAGCAGTCAATATTTTTTTTCATATTATTTTTAAAACACATTTTCATATTATCGATATTATTTTTATCGAATTATCCTACATCACTATCTGAGTAGAGACCCGCATTCGAGCCAGTGATAAGCCATTCAAATATCACCTTTATTCTTACAACGTTAAAGTTCAAACCAAGTACCACTTTTCGTCGCTAGATGGCATTGTTAAACGCCATCTAGCGACGAATGGCGGTACTTGGTAGTCCAAAACATACTTTTTTATTTTGATTTATAGTACATTGGTTTTAAAGTTGCATATCGTATGATATTTTTTTTGCATTTCGTTTACGCCCATTTTTTTTCTAACCAATCGTAATTTCCGATTTATAGTATGAGTAAATTATAAATGTATTAGTTTGGCGACACCGGTTCTGGCAGAAATATTGTTTCAAGCTACTTCCATTGTATTCTATATTCCGTGGTTATTGCTAAGTAGATTTATGGTAATCTGTGGCAACGTCGTGAGGAGTGTATTTGTTAAATCTATTACTTTAGGGCCGAAACATATAACCCCGTTGCGTCGTCGCAACGCTAAAATCGGCAGTTTGCGTTGCGGTGTTGTGACGCCACAACGCAGCGCTCGTTCCAGCATAGCTGAGTAATGTCTTCTTAATAACAAATAAGCAATAAGTTTTTTACGATGGTTTACGGCAGAGACACGTCTATCCACAATAAAAAATCACGACGAATTGGTTACCGAACGACAACAAAACGCTCTTTTTCACGACGCCGCAACGCAAACTGCCGATTTTAGCGTTGCGCCGACGCAACGCGGTTATGTGATTCGGCCCTATCGTGTTATCAATACATAGTATAAAACAAAGTCGCTTTCGCTGTATGTCCGTATGTATGCTTAGATCTTTAAAACTACGCAACGGATTTTGATGCGGTTTTTTTTAATAGATAGAGTGATTCTTAAGGAAGTTTTGTATGTATATACATATTGCACCCGTGCGAAGCCGGGGCGGGTCGCTAGTATTTAATATACTGCTGTTTGTTTGTTACTGTTGTTCTGTTTTCTGTTCGTCTGTTACTGTTGTTGATACTGTTGTCCTTGATAAATAAATAAAAAAAAATAGATATATTCACCTATCCGCCGCCCCCTGGGTGCTGAGCGCGGGCTGAGTGTCCCCGCACTGCACGGTGACGTCGGCGGTGGGGGGCCGCGGGGGGGCCGCCTGCAACTTGTCTTGCGACGCGGCCAACGACTCGCACATCTTCTTTATGAGGTCCGCTATCTCGGTAGATTGGAGGACTGTGTCGCCTGACGCGGTCTTGTATCTGGAATCAGATTTATTATCTTTTTATTGATAAGGGACAAAAAGTGTAAAAAATCATCTATCTATCATCAATCTTTTTTTTAAAGGGGGGAAAATCATCGAATGTCGGCTCCCGCCTGGGTGAGGCGGGAGGGAGTGTCAGACTCTTACTGACTAAAAACCACTCCGTTCCTTCTCCTGCACGTCGAGCCGGAGCCCCGATATAAAAAAATCCGGCTAGAAACCTTTCTTTTTTGAAGTTGGTCAAATAGTATACTAAGACCAGAAGGTCTCATTGTAACATACACTTCTCTGTAAACAAAACCCCAACAAAATCGGTTAAGCCAATCGTTCGTAGTAATTTGTGAAAACTTTCTTTTACAATAAGTACAATTAATAATCACCTGCCAGTATTCATAGCTCCTAAGTTAGTATAGGCGACTTGTCCTACATCATGTCCGAGGTTGGTACAGCTTCCACTGCGGAAGTCGAGGTTTGGTTCATGCGGCACTGGCTCCCTGCCTTCACTCTGCAGGCGGGACGCACTGCGAGCCGTCAGGTTGTTGGGCTTCTGAAACATTCGGAGACACATCTATACATATAAAAATGAAACCCGTTTCCCGTTGTCACGCCATAACTTGGGAACGGCTAGACCGATTTGGCTGATCTTTTTTTTTTTGTTGTTTGTTATTATCAGGAGAAGGGTTTTATGACCGAAAAAAAACCTGCAAATTCTACGGGAACTGGAGAAAACGGGATTGCACATACGAAGTCGCGGGCACAAGCTAATTACAAAATATTAAAATAGGGTAGATGACTAATTTTTATTTTGAAGTCCGTCTCGTAGATTATTTTAAATCATTAGACACGTAATTTTTATTTTTTTACAGAAACAAATACTTTCGACGATATATTGATTTGAAATGTCGCGTGACGTCACTTCTATTGGGACACATTATCATTTTATACGTAGAAATGACGTTTTATTTAGCCCCCACTCCTAAACTTTGATTCGTTATATCTAAGTATCATTTTATTATACAACAAAATATAAAATACGTGTCTAATATTTTTTCATTACCTAACTGACGGACTAATTAGGTTTTTAATTTCATACCCTAGCATCATCCCTATTGTATTTAAACTTCTGTCCATAGTCCTCCAATCCCTCCCATCACTATTTTCTAATACTCAATCACTGTAATCTCTACTCTTTCAAAGGCAACGAAACATTCCAACAGTATTAGCAACTTAAGCGTTGTTTTACGTTAGTTGAGGTCGAGCCAGCCCATTTGTGCCGAACCAAGGCTCTCCCACATTGCCGAAGAAGTATTGTAAAATTGTGCTGACGAGAATTCTAAACTAAAAGCAGAATCTTTAAAAACTTAAAATTAGGTCACTACAAATTACCTGAACCTCCTGTTTAGCTCCTAAATACTTGAGGCTCATCTCCACATCAACGTAGGGTCTTCTGGATCCTTCTCTAGCCGGGCCCTCGTCACAACGCAGTATGAAGCATCGTTCATGTATACTCAGAGCCCCGTCATTGTTGCAGAACTTTGCTAGAAAGTGTTGTATGTCTTCCGTTGGTATTAATTTGCGGAGGTCCATGCTGCAGATACCTGAAAATATATAATAAAAGTGCAACAACATACATCAACATCATAACATCACGCCTTTTATCCCTGAAGGGGTAGGCAGAGGCACATTACGGCACTTAATGACACTGTACAATGTAACACCCACTTTTCCCTATTTATGTTATGAGTCCCATGTAATAGGGGGTGAGCCTATTGCCATATACCGGACACAATTCCAAACTCCGTGCTACCACTGAGAATTCTTTTAAAAACCCAGTATTACTTTGCCCGACCCGGTTCGAACCCGAGACCCCTTGCCCGGCAGTCGCACTTGCGACCACTCGGTCAATGAGGCAGTCAAAAAGTAAAAAGTGCCTCAATAAGTTACATTGCTTTTTATAGTAGGTCTTGAAGTAATGCATCAATATCAACCGTTTTATTCACATAGGCACTTTTAATGTCCATATAATTTTTTTTTATGGGACTCATAACATAAATAGTGAAAAGTGGGTGTTACTTCTATGTGCACCTCTGCCTACCCCTTCGGGGATAAAAGGCGTGATGTTATGTTATGTTATGTAAAAAAAAAACCAGTACAATCTTTAGATTAAACCATTCTTTCCATATGAAAAACCTATATTCCTCACCGACGTCCTTCTCCCCAGCCCAGACCCTGGTAACAAGGTGCGGACAGTCAGTGAAGTATCGGCCGAGGGTCGCTAACTCCGACGCCAGGCGGAGCGACGTGCGCTGGTTGAACTGGACTGTACTGCCGCCGTTGGAAGATGAAGATGCTGACATTCTGAAGGATAACAAATATTATGTGTAGGTAAATATAAATAATATAGCGCAAAAAAAAAGGCAACAGCTAGTACGACTGCTGTCGTACTAGCTGTTGCCCGCGGCATCAACCGCGTAGAATTTGAATTTCAGGACATAACTGTTTTGGTTTAAAATTTTCAAAATAATAGTATCCCATGTTATTCCTTAGTACACCAGCTATTTGCCAGTTCCGTCAACATCGGTTCAGCTATTCCAGAGATTAGCCAGTACAAACATATAGACAGACAGACAGACAAAAATTAAAAAAATGTTTTGTTTGTGTGTGTATCGTATGTATAAAATAAATGCTTTTTACTACATGCGTATGTAACCGACACTCCAATTTTATTTATCTGCACAGATGTTAGACTATTTAAAATTTAATTTGGCGTTGATGGAGTGGTTGCAGGCGCGATTTTATATTGTCTCAGTATTACCTATAACAGAGTCTAGTTTCATAGTCGATTTGTTAATAAGGTCGAGCACATAATGTGGATCATTAATCCTATAATCACTATCTGCACTGGTCAGAGATAAACAGGCATGGTCATTTAAGATGTTTTTATTTATCTAGGTATACATACCGATCCGTCATAATGTTATGTGTGAAAACCGAATAGGTGACATAACAATCCACTTCTTTGCTGGAATTTCGATCAGGTAACAACTGAAAAAATATTTATTACAAATATCAATTATAAGTTTCAATTCCAGCCTAATAATATACGTGTCTTTCGAATAAATTGTTCGAATTAAGTAAAAATGACTAATTCCTCACGTAAATATACTGAGAAAAGCTCTACTTGTTTCGAGTTAATTGTTTTTCTTCAGAAAATGCAACTATCATTTTCAAATATAACTTTGATCATACCAAGTCAAAATTTTCAACTGCGCCAATAACAAAGCTGAGGACAAACAGTTGTTTCCCGGCACCAATCCGTATGAGCCCTTCATCACACAGCAGGTTCGGTTGCAGCTCCGGAGACGACGCAGTCTTCTTACTTTCTGCTACATATTCCTCTGAAAATAAAAAGAGTACAGTTAACCATGTTTAATTCTCCAATTTAATTTTTTTAGAAATAGCATAGAATGTGTTTCGCCGTGTAAGTGAGGTTACCGGAGGGCCAATTAGATGAAACTCCGAAAGGGCATTGACTAAAATTGGTGCCTTTCTTTTTTCTGGCGGCAGTCGATGATTTCTTGAAAATATTGTCTAGAATGTCATTACAAACGAAATTGTCTATGGGCTCATATATGGAAATCTCAGTCTGGACTGAGTTATGAGCGTTGAAAGGAGCTGGAGTCAAACATTTTACTTTCGATTTTTTATTCAAATTATTCATATTTTGTCACAATTCCTAACTTCAAATTGCGCGCCACTGTACGCCGGGCACAGAAACACCAAATCACACCACAATATATCCATATTGCCAGTCACAAATTTTATTAGCTATTTTCTCTCAATCGATAACTTGTGGGATGCTTCTAGGAGTTGTGTCATGAAGCTTCATGAGTGTCAGCTGTGGTACCCGTGGTGGGTTGAGTAGTTGTAGCCGTTCAAACATCTAATAAAGTATTTTTTTTTTTGCTGTTGATTCCTGGTGGGAGACTCATCTACTTTATAGTTAGCATAATCTTTTGAGGAAAGGAAACCGTCGACTTTGTAAAGTGATGGACTATACGACGTCAGATGAGCGCATCATTTTTTCATATAATGTGATCAGTCGAAATCCTTCACTTTGTGTTTCTGTTGAATGATGATGTCTTTGTACAGAATCTTATGCTAGATGTAGATTAAAGTATTAACTGTAGTTAGATTAGTTACTAATCGGAAGTAAGTCGGGAGAAGTAGATAGAAAAATGATTTTTCGTGTATCCGCTACCGACGCCTCAGTTGACGAACATAGCATTTCATGATAAGGCTCAGTAAAGTATTTTGCGGGTTTTAGACTGAGAGGAAATTGATCATGAAAATCTGTCATAGGCCTTAAATCGTATACATATAAAGTGAAGACGCTAGCCAATCAAGCGAAATATTATTTTTTTATTTCAGCAGTGGCCAGTTAATGGTCCACTCTGTTCTGATTCCTTGGCCTTATAAAAAAAAAAAAAAACTAATAATAAGAAAAAAAAAATAAGCCCACAACAAGCTTTACTATATTCCTTGAAATCGTTTATAAACATTTATTACAAAATATTTCTCACAAGTAAATGAAGAAATAAATGTCACCATCAACAAAATAACAGGAGTAATATACCACTATTATCACATTTTTGAACTGACTTAACTCGGTTCGGACTGTGTTTTTGATATAAGACCCCATATATTTTTTTGTTTGTAATGTTATTCTGCATCAGTTTATCCACATTTGATCAACTGCCGCGAAAAAATTAAAAGGCACCACGCTCCATACAATTTTGGTCATTGTCATTTACTTCTTTTTATGTAGAACCTCTTTGCCAGTAACAAAGAAACAGAGAAATGAAGTCCATTGAAGGTATGTAGGTAACACTTACTCAAAGTCATCAACATAGATTTGGCAGTGGGAGGATTCGACGTGGAGGTTGCAGGTGGGTAGGCAACCTCATTGCTGTGGAACATACGCAGCTCATTGCGCTGGGGACAACACACATAGAGCTTAACTTACACAAACGAAAAAGGTGCAGTAGCACTCAATATCAATATAGTCTTGTTAACACAAAACAAACGGTTTAAATTTCATACACTATTTTAAATACGGTGGTTGACAGTTTGACAGGTAGTCAAAAACAATACTTTTATTGAAATTATTGTTCCGGGTCTGGGTATCATGTGTATGTGAACTTGTATGTTTGTAAACGCACCTACGACACAGGAGATAACCGTGGTGTGGGGCAACGTTTGTTTAAAAAAAATTGAAATGTCAAAAACGATATTTTTCTATGAATTTTGTATTGGATCGCAACTTATGACGTCATCATATTTCTGCGTCAAATAGCATACATATTTCCTTAGAATTAGCGAGAAAAATCCAAAAGTAGGTAAATTGTCAAATCAATGGATGAGAGTATGATTATTCTTAAATTATTTATTCCACTGAAAAGTTGAAACAATTTATTTTAAAACCTAGGATACTAGCCAATTGTTTGTAGTCCACTGCTCAACATAAAATCTGTTCTATAGCGTAATATTCATATTATGTCTTACATTACTTCAAATCAGAAGAAAGTTATTACCAAAAAACTATTTAGGTGTAATAATCAAACCACTTATTACTTCAAATAAATTATCGAATATAATCACTAACTTCCACATTCCGTTAAATAATTACTGCTTGTAAACTTACTTAACAGATAACTAGTACACTTAGTAGTTTCATAAACAATATTGAATCAATCGCCATTGTATGATTAGACATGCGATGTAAAAACTAAAATATGAATAAACATGACCCGTTATCGATTAATGGTATGGTTTTAATTACTTGTAGCATGACAGGAAATATTTCAAAGCTGTTTGCATAAATATGAGTTTCAGCTATAACGAGGCAGGTAGAGTGAGAATAGCTGTAAAATGGTTAGTAATAATATGGTAGGTGAGAACTAGTCAAATACAATACTTTTATCGAAACGTCAAAAATGATACTGTTCTATGCATTTTGTATGAAATACCATCTTATGACGTCATCATATTTTCGCGTCAAATAGCACACTTATATCTAAGAAAAATGCTAGAATAAATCCAAAATCAATGAATGAAAGTGTAACTATTTTTCACTATTTAATTGGACTGAAAAATCAATATTATAATTTATTTTTTACCTATACTAACTACCCAATTGGATGAGAAGAGCTGAAGACAAAAGAAAGGGACCTTCAGGTAATAACTGAAATGATGTGACTATTGCAACTTGTAAAAGAAAACTTTGTTGGTATGATTCAGGACCACTTTGCAGTCTAATACTTGAACATAATGATTTGGAAAAATCTAGACAACTTTCACATAAATGAAAGTGCATTTCACATATGATTAGCACATAACGGTATAAAAATTTGTAACTAGAGACCTAGTATATTTATTGGTACTAACTTACCTAACTGCTATATCGAGAACTATGATAGTGAGTGAAAGATAGTATGTATGGATGACATGTTAAACATACATGATCACACCATTTAAGTATCCCAAGCGGCAATCATAGACCTTATTTCCGATGTTTAGAGACTACTTTTGTATGAACAAATTTAGGGGATGATATTTCAACAGGTTAACTGATCAATCCCCAAGCAATCACCAGTGACCACTCTCCACTCACTCCATTATAGACCTTATTTCCCATGTTTAGAGACCTACATTTCTATCACTACGGAGACAATCCAAGTGTGGGGTAACAGTTTTGGAAAAAGAAAAGAAGAAGAAACCAGAAGTTGGTTAAGAAAGTAGGCTATTTTAGTCTATCATAAGAATAAGATTACTGACAGGAGTTGGTGTGTTAATCCTGTCTTCAATAGAGAGACTCATCAACAACTGCGGATGGCAGCATTTTCCTTCTGACTTTACACCAAGCAGCCGGTGCCACGAGTGTTTGACCTGTAATAAAAAACAACAAGGTATGAGAATTCATAAAAAAATAGTCATGTGTCAAGTAACATAATGTAATGTTGACAGCATGTTTAGCGCGGTGGCTGGGCAACCAGCTGCTGTACGTAGGGAGTTTGATTGCCGCACAGAGCAACACTTTGTGTAATTCACAAAGTATTGTTTCAGGTCTGGGTGTGAAAGGAATGTGTACGAGTATGTTTGTAAACGCACCACGACACAGGAGAAAATCCTAGAGTGACCAACTTTGTAATTTGTTAAAATGGTAGTAATAATGAAAAGCTACTCAGTCTCATGGTCCCAGGAATGTAACAATATGTTCCATTATGATTAGCGGCAATAACCCACAAAGCTTTGATTGATTACAATAAGGCTATAATAAAGCACTCATTATCAGAACAATTCCAATTGTTTCGTACAATGTAATATTGATGAACAGATTACAATATAATATTATATATTGTAGGTACTTACATCAGTATGACCAATGGCTTAAATAAATGTTATTTATTAATTCAGTAAATAAAGCTACAAAATAGCCCATTCACAGGTACTATTTGCTTTGGTTATTCCAAACTCTAAGAATGAAACATGGAAACAAACTTAGTACTTACTTCTACGACTTTGTTGGAAGGGCATGGTTGAGCTCCAAGTAGGCTCAGCAGTAAGTACCCCACTTTGTCCTTACGGCCTTGTGTACTTGTTGTGAAGACTTCCACTTTCACGGGCACATTCTGAACTCGTAAGCTGCAATTAAGTTAGAGGTTTTTGAACATATTTATGAAAAAAAAATGGATCTTAAGTGTTTGGTAACGATCCTATAAATTTCATTTATGTAGTTTATTACTTATTTATTAGCCAAAATATAATTATATGGTGTTCTGTTTTGTTACATCACAAATCTATTCTCGTATTACAAGAAATGTCGGTTTACACGATATTTGATATTCGTGGCAATCAAAAGTGCCACAACAAAGATTTACTTGAAAGAAACGATAAAGCTCACGCGTTTTCGTTTCTTTTCTTTCGTAAAATGAGGAAAACAAGAGTAATTTGTTTACCTTCGAAACCTTCGTTTGTCGGCCTCCCAAACAAGTTCCGCATCAAAGACAGGAGCATGTGACGGCACGACAGGATCAGTCTCTAACATGTAACCATTTAGAGAACCACTTACTATAAACGGGGTCCGCAAAAATCCAAAACCAAGACCTAAAACATACCAAATAAATTCAAATGTTTACTACAGCTGTATATTCTTTTCGAAGTCACTGGGGAAAAGTGCGAAAAGACATGCCTTCTTTTATATGTAGGACTATTTGTATATTTGGTCCCCGTAATTCGTCCATCTATATTTTATTAGAAAAATGACTAAAAATGTAAAAATTCAAATCAAATGCAACTGTAAACATTGCTTTCCAAAATCAAAGATGACATTTTAATAGTGATGTTGCAAGCTTAAAAGCACGCAATAAAAACTAATATTACTGGTTGCCAGCTGTAAAAGTTGTTTAAAATTGAAACAATAAAATTTAAATAAATAGTATGTTTCATGCTAAGAACAATAACAATATACAAAATGACATAAATATGATCACGATATATTATAATATACTTTATAGAAAAGAAAACATGATACCATGAAAATGGATTTGCATAATTTATCTGTAAATTATGCCCCATGACACCGGAAGTAAAAAATCCAGAATGAAAAAACTTATTATTATAATTGAAATATCTTTCATAAATAAAATGCGCTTATCTTTTCAAAACTTTCAGAATAAAAAATATATTTATTAGTATCTACTTCAATAAATAATTAAGTTGGATTGTTTTAAATAATTAATAAACATTAAACAGTAATTATTTATTGGTTTTATTTCCGGAAAATGACATTAAATTCCAACAACAGTTTTCAACTTCGAGTCCTATATTTGCATTAATTTCTATGAATAATTATATTTATAATTACAACTAAGTCTACGAATTATGTGCCACTAATTTTTTATATTTTATATGTGATGCAAAATAATGAAACAATGAAGAAGTTTTTGTACGAATACAAATCTAAGAAAACTTCGAGGAGTCGTTGTAAATCTGAAACGAACACTGCAATAAGGTAAACATTGATTGATCCTATTAGTTTACATTATTTTTTCCTACCCTAAATGTATGACCTAAATTAGAATCAGGTATTGTACGGTAGTAAGTGCACGTCGTATGGTTCACGAGCCGTCTGTGACCGCAGCAGACTAGAGTTGAGGAGGGCCGACGCTCGTCGACCGGCGCGCATGAAGTGGATCACCGGAGCGCAACGAAAAGTAATTTGTACAAAAAACCAAATTCAACTCATTGCGAATGCCGCGTTGTTCGTGATGTTTTGTCTGACCGCACAATATATCGGTGGTCATTGTTGCTAGTCGTTTTTTATAACGATCGGACTTCTAATGCGCCGGTAATGTTCCTCGTGTACGGCTCCTCGCATCGACGAACTTTCTGTTGTAGTTTAAAAACTTATTTATATTAGATAAATGTTATTTAATTGCTAATTGCAGACGTCTCGTTTCATTGTGTTAGTTTTTTCCGAACAAAAAGTGGATACTTTGCAGGATATGGGTGTTTTCAAGTGGTTACGCCGGTGAGTACGTATTTTTATCATGTTTTTATGTCTAAATTAATTTTGCACTTATAATTGTTATCTTTTTAAAACATTACAAGTAGGCATCATCTTTCCATTTTGAATGAACACAAAGTTATCATATTATTATTTATACCTACTTTTTTTTACTTGACTTGAGATCGCGCTACATTATTATTTTTAAATACCTACCCATAAACGTTCGTAGCTAGTACCTAAACATCTCAGCCTTTGCACCTAACAGATGATTGCATGAACAGTTAGGTAAGTACCTACTTTTAGTCCAATGTAGAATTGAACAAAAATGTCGATTACAATACACCATACACAAAGCTAAAGCCCCAGGATGATGTAAGTGGATCACCTAACGTTGAATCATCGGAATTGTACCTACCCACAATAGGTTTGATTCCAATTCCAATCCAATAAAGGCCAAAGCTTTGTGTACCATTGCCAATACAAATCACGGTGAACGCAGTTAATTATTGCAACGAAATCTAGTTCGATCATCATTCCTAGTTTAGTCATTTCCTGGACTTCAGGACAGGTGTATCTAATGCAGCTATTGGTAAATATTATTATTTTTTTCGTTATGATCATACAAAATTGAGACGTAAAATATCATTTGAATTAGGTTAAAAGTTACGATGAGTTCAACGACTTTTCGAAATAAGTTCATTCACATAATCATCTGTTTGACTGTTGTCTGTTTTGTAGGCAACAAAAATAATTGTTTTACCTACCGGTTGATAACATTAATGTATCGTAATTTTGTTAAAGAATTTAATTAAAAGTTTGTCAATCGTCCTTCGTAGATGTCTGTAGTTACTTGGTCAGTGGCTAGTTGGCGAAATTTTGATAAGAAATTGTTTTAATTTGTGTAAAAAGTGTTTAGTTTAGGCAGCGACTGTTTTAATTTAATTGGATACGTTATTTGCGAAAAACCGTAAGTACCTAAGTATTTGACAAACATCTATAAATATTTTCTCAAAACTAGGACCTAGCTCCTATTTTCGCGATGTTCAAAAATACGCTACCTTACAGTTTCAGCAAAGTTTTTGCTTCTTTCCCGATTCATATTTAACTAGTTTCTAAATTTACCCATTGCACAACTTCTGGATTTCTTGAAGTAGGTAGATATCTATAGCGAAAAGGGTTCTCTAAGGTGCACAAAGCGTAGTCCAAATTTGGCTAACGGTAATCAGATCTTTGTACCACATGACGTAAGACGACCCCCCAGGGGTCATAGTCGTGAATTTATTAAAAACGTGAAGCGAAAGTTATCAATTTCCTTGCGTTTCATCAGCTGCGTGCTCTTTTCCTTTGGCAAAGGCGTGATGTTAGATAGCCTCCCTTGAGAATAAAATAACAAAATGCAATAGGCATTTTTCATATCTGATCACTAGTGATCACATAATGTTATATCGAACCAGCAAATTGTATTCTTAGATTTTATCGCGAAATCGGAAATAACGTGCACCATTTCAAAGTTACAACCAGAAACTCACCATGTTTATTTTCTGACTGTACTCGTCTTTTAACATTCACAATTACAAGCGTGTAACGTCTGCCTACTGAAAACCTATTGTACTTTAAAGTTAGCGTCTCAAACTATCTCTGACAACAATAAGAAGTACATTCACAGGTCATAACATCTCAAATCCATGTTTAAGAATTATTGTTGGGACCAACAAAGGAACTGACTTTCTTTCATAGAAAATACTTTCGTTTATCATTCAAATCATGCGCAGGAACTCAAAGAAATATGTCCATGGTTGTTTTTTTTTGGAGCCTCATTCAGCGCGCACGATTGAGCAATTTTGGAAAAGAATGCCTCCTTGTACATGGTCGTGATTGATGCCTCCATTAATTACTGCTTCGATTCGATCTGGAGCCTTTCAATGGTTCTAAAACAGTGTTATTGAAATTTCACTTTCACTCAACTTATTTGTGATAGTGATGTCTTGCTTTATAAATAACCAAAATTGTTGGCTGGACACCGACAGCTTCTTATTTATGTAAGCATTATCTGCGGATCCCAAGATATGGGTTTCGCGAGGTGCTTTCTAGTTTAATTACAATGTTACGTAATGTATTGTTTGTATCGAATCGAGATTATAAAATAAACCTTTGTTATTACTTCCGGCGTATTGGAGATTATAATGGATGACTTTAAATTCTGTGTAACAAAGAAGTCTGCTAAGTAAGCAAAAAGTTTGCGACGTTGCCGAACCTTTGTATGACCCTAACTAAATCACGTACTTGAAAGTCTTAAGTAATATCCAATAGGTGACTTAAGTACCTTAATTACTGAAGTGCTTTTGTATCATAGTGAAAACTAATAAGTTATATAATTGTTATAAAACTAGTATACATCCCAACCACTTAGTTTCGTAGCGTAGAATATATAAATGAACATAATGACCCGTAGAGACATACGTGTAAAATTGTTTGGTATAAATGGATACCACTTTAATAGCTCATTACTCTTTTAAATGTATTAAATAAGTACGAAATATAAATGAAATTCCTTTCTCCGTTCGTTTTCGTTGACAAAAACTTGGGGCGTGACAAAAAAGGTATATCAAAATGGCAGACTTGAATGTCCGTGTTTTCTCTTTCAAAATTTTAGTACTAGACATTTTAGTGATATAACTACGTTTTGATAGACACGATCTATCAGTTTATTGAATCTAGGAGAGCTGTTTCACAAGAGATCAAATTGATGTCAGATATACAATGCCTGGGAACAAATTTTGCGAGCCTGATCAAATTGGTAATCGGTAAAAGTGTATCGATCGTCCCGCGTTGGTACTCATGATTATGATCGCCTCTTACTTTGCTCTCTTATTTGTAGAGTCCATTGTTTTTTTTTTGCTACTGGATGTTATTTAATCGGGGCTATGTAGCTAAGCCTGTTTGAGAGATAAAGGATTTAAAAGAAAAACTGACTTTATAAAAATAAACGAGTTAAACTAGTGCGTTACGGAGCCTTAACATTTTTTATAACTCAAAAAATAACACCTGGAACCAAAGCGTAACCGTCCAAATTCAATACAAAATTCCATTTATTTCGAGTAGATCTCGACGTTGTGTCGCCGGTGACCCGCGACTGTCCCACGCTTTTGCTGTCTGAATGACGTCCAAACTACCATTAGTTGCTGTTATTTGTATTTTATATTGTTAAGGTTTTTTCTTAGACTATTGTTGGTTTAACGCCTTGCTTAAAAAATGATTCAGAGTACCTATAGGCCTTGCTGAGAGACAGCTGTAAAAAATGAGCAACGATGAATGTAGCAATGATTCATAGTTTTGTTCTATGACATGTTGTGAGTTTTACCAGGCGTTAGACAAATTGATTAAAAGATTTGGACAGTATCTATAATAGTAAATACCCAAAGTGGTAAACAGTTGTGGAGTCCTATGTAGGTACTTAATAAGAAGTGAACGTGTCAACAACATCCAAATCTTTTAAATCATTATCTTTTTTTTTACAATCTTTTATTTTTACACGGTTATTGTTTGTCAACAGGGAGCGTGTAACTGTAACGACGCATCACAGCGTGAGCGCCAGCCCCACAACACCTGAAGCACCGTGCAGTCACAGCACCACACAAGTTGGCACTATTCGCACAGAGGAATATAAACGTGATTTAGCAGAATTCCAGGCAAGACGTTCCATAGGAAGTAAAGAACCCAAAGATACACCTATCAAGAAAAAATGTGGTAGACATTCCTTGCCCGTGTCTTGTACCGACTGCACTGCAGATCACGACAACACTTTCAATTATGAAAAAAAATCAGCCATTAAATATAAAAAGAAACCGAAACGCGCTCGAAGTACGACCCCTGAACGGTTAGCCTACGGAGGTCTTCCGAACATACAGTTCTTATTCCAGAATCAGGTGTTCATGCCTGGGAATTTATATCCTACGACTTCATCCTTTTCTGAACCACAAAAAAACAAACGTCAGTCAAGTCAAAGAATAAGCAAATCTCCAGATATGGACATGTTAGTTCAAAAGCACCTAGATTTTAAAGAAGATGAACAGACAAACACTTCTTCAAAGTTGTACAAGAATAATTCTCTTCCCTTTGATGTAAAGAACTTTTTAGACGGTCACAAGAGTGACGACGATGAAGTTGATGGAGTAAAAGCATCGGGAGACGTTAATTTATCTAGTCAACATGCGTCCCCTAGTCCAAGGAAGGATGTCTCAGATGATAAGCTTTGGGAAGTAATGAGTGAGTTGAAGAACTTGGATCAGTGGGCCGACGAGCAGCTGCAGGTTCAGTCGCCGCACACTAGCAAGTCTGACGATAGTAAAGTATGTTTAGCAGGGCAATGCCCGACTATATTATTTCTTAGATTCGTTTGCATCATTGACCTTAGTGAAATCAAGTAAACGGTATCAATTGACTAGGCAGGTTTAAGACACTGAATGATGCAGATGACTGATTTGCTATTGTAAAACGTAAACGTAAATCCCCTAGTGTCTTAACTAACGTTATGTCTGAGTCATTTACATTGTTTTAATTCGGAAATGAGATCATTTAATTGGTCTTGTACAATTTGGTTACTTTTTAGAGTGATGCGAGTACATACGGGTTGCCGATAGCATGTGCAAGCAACCTCGACGTGACGGTAGAAAGGAATAAGACTTGGAACTGCGGGAAATGGGGCGTGGTTCCCGTGCAGATAAAGAGACTGAATGGTGTCAGCGTTGAACATGTTAGGAAGAAACGGAACACGGAGATAAACATATTGAGGTGAGATTATGACGTCATTTCTATAGCAGTAAAAGGCTTTTTACAGAGTCATGATGTTCTCAGCACAATGGTGCTTTAGGAAGTCATTGTCCGTTTAATGAAATGAGGTAGGTGTGAGGTGTCACATAAACGTCCGAGCTTGAATTTATTGCAGTCTCTTGGTCGTAATGGCATCCAGTTGAATATGAGGAAAGTAATTCGCCTTCGAGTTAGCAATAGTACTAAACACGACCGTGAAATAGTCGCTGTGTATCTGTATTTTATGCAAAGTTACTTCAAACATAGTGAACAATGAACAAGAGAAAACTGAGTTCGATCCTTGTTTCAGCTTTGTGATAACTTTGGATACGCATCTCTTAAACAGTTCAATATCAATACATAGTATAAAACAAAGTCGCTTTCGCTGTATGTCCGTATGTATGCTTAGATCTTTAAAACTACGCAACGGATTTTGATGCGGTTTTTTTTAATAGATAGAGTGATTCTTAAGGAAGGTTTGTATGTATAATACATGCATATTGCACCCGTGTGAAGCCGGGGCGGGTCGCTAGTATTTCAATAAAAAAGGCCTAATGGTTCTTTCCACTACATGCAAACTGTTCGGTTTGACTTGAATTGTTATAATTGTATTTTGTTATAATTTCAGAAAGTGTCGCCACCCTAATATAATACTTCTAATGGGACTGTATCCCGACATTTACGGCAATGTTCATCTGATCTGCGAGAGATGTGTCGACTCACTGTACGGCATACTACATGTTCAGGTAATCACTTTAAAATCACCATTATGCTATCATATCACATTATTATAGCAAACTAACATATTTTCTAAAAACTTGAATGCCTAATATTGTATTCTGCCTTTTAACGCAGTTTGCGTAGGATTAACACAGGTAAGTCAATCTGATAAATATGTATTTTAATTCGAAATACATTCTATTTCCCATCGTGTTCGCCTCGTTGGCTGAGTAGTCGCAAGTGCGACTGCTACTGGGCAAGGGGTCTCGCATTCGATTCCCGCGTCGGGCAAAGTATTACTGGGTTTTTTAAGAATTCTCAGTAGTACCACGGAGTCTGGGATTGTGCCCGGTATATGGCAATAGGCTCACTCCCTATTGCATGGGACTCATAACATAAATAGTAAAAAGTGGGTGTTACATTGTAAGTGGCATAATTTGCACCTCTGCCTACCCCTACGGGGATAAAAGGCGTGATCTTATGTTATGTTATGTGTCTATTTCCCACAAGTAAGACCTGAAAGTTTTTTAAACTTCACGACTCTTACAAAATCTGCGACGAAAAAAGGTTCAATACTTATTTCCTAACAGTAGTCAATTTTAAAATAACATTCCCAGGGCCGCATTCTAAGCGCACAAACGGCGGTGCAGTATGCCCTGGACATTGCGAACGCTCTGGTCTTCCTGCACATGCAGGGCTACCTGCATACAGAGTTATGCAGCTCCAGCGTGATGATCACAAGTCATGATGCAGCCAAACTGGCTGATATGGCAGCTTGTAGTAAACTGCCGTGTACGCCAGAGAGAAGCAACCTTAAAGACTATGATATGTGTTCGCCTGAGCCTCAGTATGTCAATATTGATGGTAAGTCTTTCCAACGTCCCTACTTTCTTTCTGAGGATTTGCACTTATGTATGCTTGTTAGTTTTTCATGCAAAAAATACTGAACGCATCTGAATAAGGCGTATAGATAGGTAATAATCCAGAATCCAGACTCGGGAATAAGGCGTAGGCTACGTACTTACATTATATACCTCGAAACGCTCGAGACGCTAGCAGAAGCTTGTGTGATGTGTTTGATAATTACTTCAGGAAGTACTCAACTGTCGGTTGCAGTTATATTGTAATGATCTATATCTACAAGCATCAAGATATAAAACAAAACAACTCATTTGTAATCATAATTATCTGTGAACACGGCGCTGGCTGGACGAGATCACGAGACGTAAAAAATTAACGAGTTCCGTACAATTAAATAAATTATAATGACTTTATTTTTAAGTTGACGATTGACGTACTTATATTAGTAAAATAATAGTTTATGCCATTAAAGTATATATCTTTATTTGTCACTGAAGTGCATAGGTAGAAAATTTTAATCTTAAAAAATTGCTATAATTTGATATGACAGTAAAAGATATAGGTTTTAAAATGTCGCATTTATTAGAAACTATCAGTTTTTTTTTCTAATGTCGATTTTTATATGTATAATAATACTTATTTAATATATTTGTATTGTAGTCAATGTATTTTTGATGATATAAATAGTTTAAGTATACATACTTACCTGTATCAATCATAATTTTAAAGATAAGTACTACATTACATAAATTATAACCTTGATATCTTTATCTTTTCAAAACGTCTGTGCAATAATAGTCTTTATGCTGTGACTACAAAGTGGATATTCGTAGTATAAATATATTAAATTCAAGATTTTATAGCAAACGTTAAATTCTGTTGCTCATTCGCCAACGTCCATACCATGTTGAAAACACCGGTTCTCGTCCGATCACCGAAGTTAAGCAACATCGGGCGTGGTCAGTACTTGGATGGGTGACCGCCTGGGAACACCACGTGACGTTAGCTTTTTGCATTTAAAAAAAAAAAACATGTTTTAATTTTAATATTACTTTATCTATTTCATTTTTTAGATTAGAAATTAGAGCCGAGAATCATAATTTTAGAAAAAAATAATGTCACCAAAGGCAGTCATCAGCCTAGACTTAGATATAACGCCTTACTATAATAAATTACTGTACATTCTTTCAAAGACCGATAATGCTGTATCACTTTGTATGACAAATAATCAAGTGATGTCATTTAGATGTAACTAAACGTAAGATACGGTATTGCGTTCGCCAACGTCCATACCATGTTGAAAACACCGGTTCTCGTCCGATCACCGAAGTTAAGCAACATCGGGCGTGGTCAGTACTTGGATGGGTGACCGCCTGGGAACACCACGTGACATTAGCTTTTTGCTGACTTCTTTTTTTTTTTGTTTAAAAAATAGACGATAATTTTATCACAATTTTATTAATTATAAAGATTTTTTTAAATATACCTCAGGCGATACATAAATATCTACTGCCTACCTGGGAGAACCCGAGGGACGTTGACTGTTAGCTTTTATTTTATGCATTTCTATTACAATTTATTATTTTTATAGATTCTCACCAATCAGACGTAGTGGAGTTTCAGCCTCTGATATCGGCACATCCTTCAGAAACTTACATTTCATCCAATGCCGTAACCAAAGAGTATAAAATATATGAAAACTCTGAGAAATACAGATGGCATGCGCCTGAGTTGTTTTTACCCAGTGAAGAAGGTTTGGTGTATCCATGTTCCAAGAGTGATGTGTATAGTCTGTGCCTTATACTGTGGGAGAGTTGTAATGGTAAGTGTTTTTGTAAATAATTTTGTATTTGTATGGGAACTGTCTGTACTGTTGGCAGGTTTGTTTGCTTGAGAGTTTCCTCTGTGAACTTAAATTAGGTAAATATTTGTTTTATTGTGAACTAAGTAGGTATCTACTAAAAAACCTTATTGGTGCATGGTATGGAGTTAGTGCATTAAGTTAATATATTTTTTTTTTGTTCATGATAAGGTAAAGGCTTGATAAAATAAATTATGGATACAAAATAAGAATAAAAACATAATTAATATAGTAATCAACTATTTGTGGTTTCCGTTTGTCAACGTCCATACCATGTTGAAAACACCGGTTCTCGTCCGATCACCGAAGTTAAGCAACATCGGGCGTGGTCAGTACTTGGATGGGTGACCGCCTGGGAACACCACGTGACGTTGACTTTTTGCTTTTAAACTGTCAAAGACCAAGCGGTCACCGGTGACCGCAACCTATTGTTCTATAATTGTGTCTGCAAAACCGGTACTCGACGAGTTAATTGCAGGATTAATTATTTTTTCCAGAAAAACTAATATCTTGCACAATTTTTTCCTCTTAAATTAATAGTATTATTCGTGTTTTCTTCAGCGGCAGTGCCATGGAAGAACCTCTCTTACGACAAGTTGAAGGAACAATACACGTTATGGAAGACAGGTGTACCACTGCCAACAGATGGAACATACCCTGGGTGCTTGCTTTCCTTGCTACAATCTGGACTGACGCTTCAGCGAAACGAGAGAATGGATCTGAATATGTTGCAGAGTACACTGCAGAATGTTAAGGTAGATAGACAGTATATTTTATACTTATAGAAAAGGAGAAATGACAGAGGAAGCACTTGATGGTAAAACAGTCAGCGAGTCCGTGGAGATCAGCTACGACAGAGGGGTTACAAGTGCGTTGCCGGTCGCCCGGGAGAATGTGCATTTTCTATCGCTTATACCACGGGGAGTGCTCTGAGGAATTGTTTGACCCGATACCTGCCGCATCTTTTCGCCATCGACACTCACGACAGCATATGCATACCCATCATATAGATGGTTCGCAGGCCACAACTGTGCGCTTCTCACAATGCTTTCTGCCTCGCACAGCAAAACTGTGGAATGATCTGTCGTCGGCGGTATTTCCGAACCGTCAAACCTTCAAGAAAAGAGCGTATTCCTTTTTAAAAGGCCCATAACGCACCGATGACTTCTCTGGTGTTGCGGGTGTCCGTGGGCGGCGCTGATCGCTTACTATCAGGTGATCTGTCTGCTCGTTTGCCTCCTATTCCATAAAAAAAAAGATTATCATAAAAGGTACTCCTTTTTTTATTTTATTTATTGCCAAGATAAAATTCCACAAAAAAAGCAGTTCTAAATATGGTCAAAAGCTTGATAAAATAAATTCTTTATCTATAATGTTATTTCTATAAATAATAATCATGTGACGTCATACAGATGTTACTAAACTTAAAATACGGCTTTGCGTTCGCCAACGTCCATACCATGTTGAAAACACCGGTTCTCGTCCGATCACCGAAGTTAAGCAACATCGGGCGTGGTCAGTACTTGGATGGGTGACCGCCTGGGAACACCACGTGACGTTAGCTTTTTGCATCAATTTAAGAGAAAAAAAATCAAGAATTTAAGTAAAAAAGAAAAAGTAGACTTTTTTCCTGATAAATATATATATTTTTTTAAATTTATTTCTGAACAATGAGTAATTAACAATCACCATTGTACTTTACTAACTACTGTAAATAAGTATTATCAATAAAAATACCGTAAATCTTAATTATTTTAAAATAGAACTGCTACAAAGTACAAATAATAGTAGTTACTAAAGATAGTACTCGGTCTCGAGCCTGGTTAAATAATGACTTAATATTTATTTTTGAACTCCCAACAAAAGATATACTCATGCAAAAATATAATCCACCAGTCATTTCATTACGTAACCTTGTGATCCTTCAATTAATGGGAATCACATCATGCGTACATACAAAAATAGAGCAATTGCATAAAATTAAATCAATTTAAATTTAGTTACAAAAATGTTGAGAAAAATAAATAAAAAATCCAAAACATGTCAAGAACATACCAGTAACATGTCAAAAAAAATTTGTTAAAAATAAGATTAATTTAAAATTAGAAATTATGTAATATTTGTGAATTACTTATCTATAAGTAAGTAAAAGTGATAAAATTATATAATAAATGATCACATTGAATGAGTTCAAAAAATCAAGAAATGACTTAACGTATTTAATCTTTTAGTTAGACTTACTGCAACTTATCACTAAGTATCACAATAATTCTATTTGAATAAAAATAAATCTAGTGACGTCATTTAGATGTAAGTTCTAAACATAAAATACGGTTTGGCATTCGCCAACGTCCATACCATGTTGAAAACACCGGTTCTCGTCCGATCACCGAAGTTAAGCAACATCGGGCGTGGTCAGTACTTGGATGGGTGACCGCCTGGGAACACCACGTGACGTTAGCTTTTTGCAGTTTTTAAAAATGATTCATCTTTTTTTTTGTAATGGAACTTACAATTATTTGATCAACAATAAACAATTAAATATTAGAACATAATTATAATAATTTACCTTTATTGGTTTTTTACAGCGCAATATTGATGATCTTGGCTACATTATAATCCCGGCTCGCTTACCGACCAAGCGATCCACGTTCAGCTCAACGGCTTGGGATACAACTTCGCCAACTGACTCAGAATGTATGAGCCCACAGAATATAGAACACCAAGCCGTTGTACACAACGCTCAAGAAAGTTCTACAGAAAGCGAGAAAGACTGCAGCAAAAGCGATGCGAGCCCTTTATACGAAACTATAAGAAAGTCCCACGCTAAGTCTGTGGCTACCGCCGAAAAATGTTTTATCTCCGATGACGACCAAAACGACCATGCCTCATTAGTAAGATACGAACATTTGCAAGAAAAGGAATACTCCAGTGCCTGTTCAACTCCCATAGCAAAAATTAAGGCTAGGATGAAAGATCTCGGTACGCCAGGCACTCTACATAGGAGCGATTCTACTGAATACTGCAGTATTTTCAGCCCAAATCGTACTATAAATTTTGCAAATGATGACGATATTAAAGAGCAAAGTGCTGAACGTCCTCACACAAAATTGAGTAAGAGTTTCACCCCTAAATCTTACAAACCGCTTCATATAAAGGTTCCTGATGTCAATTTTGATTCTATAAAACCACTTCTGAAGGATAGGAATAGTTCTGAACGGTCATCATATAATTTTGATATAAGGAACTACAGTTTGCCTAGTACTCCTATTGCTAGAAGTAATAAACTTAGGAAGAATGCTTGGTTATCTGGAGAGTTAGGAGCTGCAGACAGGAGCCATGAAAAACCTAATGCAGCCGAAAATTGCGTCACGCCGGAGAAAGAAGGTATGTTTTCATAGTATTTTAAATGCACTAAAGCAATTTATTGTTATGTTTGCAAGCTATTTCTATATTAAAATGACTCAGTTCTATGTAAGTACTTATGTTTACAAAATTTTACTTAAGGTTTGGCTGCCAATAAAATCCTCCGCTAACGTTGGTCACTGGTGATCCCCATGACGTTTAATGTGTTAATTAATACAATTCTTAAAATACAAACATCTATTTTTTTTCAATTGACATGTAGGTTCCTTAACTTAATACTTGAGCAATCATATTTTTATTTGCAAATATGAATTTCACAACTCAATTACAAAATTAATCGCCCTCTTCTATTAATTCCAGATCATAAAAACCTAACGAACTCATCCCTCGAGAGTGCAGCTACACCAATGAACACGTCAGTGGAGAACCCAGTAAATAGCATGGAGAAAACACACGAGCCTGAAGTGATAACTCCGGTGAATAGTTCCCCTGAAGTAATTGACCCTATACGGGACGTATTTACTGGATTACGGAGGTAAGGTATATTCATTTCTGTTATATTTATTTTTATATCGAATTTTACGCACATAAGATTGTCTCGGAATTGCGAATTTCCAATATTTTCAGTTGATTTTCGACTTTAAGTACAAGTAGATAAGATTGTAAATAAGTTGCGACTTTATCCAGGAAGAGAGTTCAATAAAGACCCTAATTTGAATAAAGAAGTTATGATAAGATACTGCCATCTTCAGCAAGTCTCTAGAGTTAACAAATTTCGCTTTTGCAATCGCCAACGTCCATACCATGTTGAAAACACCGGTTCTCGTCCGATCACCGAAGTTAAGCAACATCGGGCGTGGTCAGTACTTGGATGGGTGACCGCCTGGGAACACCACGTGACGTTAGCTTTTTGCTGTTTTTATTCCTAATAAATTTAAATTTTATGTATCATGCATTTGCATTATGTTTCATTTTTTGCATTTTTTTTTAATAAGGAACATTATTTGCTACTTCATTTATTAGGAGTTAAAGAAACACTGAAGTAAAACCATAACGAAAAAAGATTTCGATTGAAATTCAAAAACTCACATTCAAATCTGTTCATTATTTACACTCCTTTAAAATAAGAAAAATATCCACGATTAAATACCTACATACAATTTATTATACGAATAAAAACAGCAAAAAGCTAACGTCACGTGGTGTTCCCAGGCGGTCACCCATCCAAGTACTGACCACGCCCGATGTTGCTTAACTTCGGTGATCGGACGAGAACCGGTGTTTTCAACATGGTATGGACGTTGGCGACGATAGTTCTCAAATAAACCAACTTTTTCGGATTAAGGGGTGCCCTATGACGTCATAGTCAAACATTCTGCTTGTGACGTGATTAATAAAAAAATTAATACAAGCAAATCAGTAACTGTTTTTGTTATGGCGATTTATCATTTTATTTAATATAAATCACTGAATATGTTTCATAATTCATTGATTATATTAATAAATTGTAGTCTGTCATTGCCTCAGTTATTCTTAGATCACCAAGATTCTGCAAGTTACAATCTTAATTTCGTTTCAGTTAATTTGCTCTAACTGTTTGACAAACCAAAGGGAACAAAGAAATAACTTTATAAATGTATTTTTATTCTTACACTGGACAAGTTAAAATTGTTCTTGCCTTCCAATAAACCTTTGTAAATTGTTGCACATTTTTATAATCTCTCGACACTAACGCCGCGCTACGACTGTTGCAGGAATTAATTGCTAAGAACCTAAGTTTGTCTGTACCGCTAGCCGAGGTTCGATTAAACACGGGTCAAATGCGATAGATGGCACTATTACTTATTTCAATCCTATCAATATACATTTAATTTTTCAAGTAAACCATCACAATAAATTTTGATTTTATTATTTTCCATATTCTAGGGTAAATCAACCTCCAGATTTCTCGCCTGATTGTGAAGACGTGCGGGATCGCATGAGCTCTTGTTCCTTGAAGTCCAGCCAGGATAAAAATGCTCTAACCAAATACAAAATAGAAGAGGATATCCTTGCCAACGTGAATGTAAAACCATTGGTCGCGATACATGAAAAATGGATATACGAAGCGAATAGAAAAACTTGCCGGTCCATGTCCTTGCCTGAAGATAACAGGTAAGTTCTGTTGTGACGTCATTTATTAGCGTGGATAGCTATCGACTATTTGAGATTCATTACCGCCAACGTCCATACCATGTTGAAAACACCGGTTCTCGTCCGATCACCGAAGTTAAGCAACATCGGGCGTGGTCAGTACTTGGATGGGTGACCGCCTGGGAACACCACGTGACGTTAGCTTTTTGCTGTTTTTTTATATAAATATGCAATAAAAATACTTATCTCATAAGTGCAGATTTTCCCAATATCTTTTTTTAAGAAAGACTAACAAATTACACCACATGATAAACAGTGACATTTCAATGCCGCACTATTGGCCTTCCATACATGAAACGGAATCGCTTTGTAACCTATCTCCACTCTTAGCAAGGAGGTTGAAGATCACAGTATTCACAGTTCCAAAGGTTTAGTTTGTCAGAAAGCGGTGCTGCCCAGTTTCTATTACAAGTGATAATTTATTATGACAATCCCTTTTTAGGCAGCACTTTTGACACTAACCAGAAAAGACAGAGCCAATTATTTTATTTTTTTTATTTTCTCAATCGTCACCGCCACTTACACCAACTACCAATAAAAATATCATAAAGCACATTCTAATTATTTAAATAGACCTGGCACAATTATTAATGAAGTTAAACAGCGCTTGGGTTTGTTATAACGCCTGACTTTTTATAATCTTTCAATAAAAGATTAATTAAAAAAAAACATTATACCGTCATAAACTTTTTCAGTTGATTTTCGACTTTAAGTACAAAACGTTAAGATTGTAAATAGGTTGCGAATTTAATCAGGAACAGAGTTCAATTAATACCCTACTTTGATAAAAAAAAATAGTGGTAAGATACTGCCATCTTCAGCGAGTCTCTAGAGTAGACGAATTTTACTCTATTCATCGTCAATGTCCATACTATACAATCGTTCAATGAAAAGATTGTTATGAATTAAAAAAAAAACAAAATGACGTCATATTGATGTAACTAAACGTAAAATACGGATCTGCGTTTGCCAACGTCCATACCATGTTGAAAACACCGGTTCTCGTCCGATCACCGAAGTTAAGCAACATCGGGCGTGGTCAGTACTTGGATGGGTGACCGCCTGGGAACACCACGTGACGTTAGCTTTTTGCTGTTTTTTTATATAAATATGCAATAAAAATACTTATCTCATAAGTGCAGATTTTCCCAATATCTTTTTTTAAGAAAGACTAACAAATTACACCACATGATAAACAGTGACATTTCAATGCCGCACTATTGGCCTTCCATACATGAAACGGAATCGCTTTGTAACCTATCTCCACTCTTAGCAAGGCGGTTGAAGATGGCAGCTTAAAAGGTTTTGTTTTGCAGAAAGCGCTGCTACAACGTTTCTGTTAAGACTAATAATATTATGATAAATAACCCCTTTCTTTCTTTGAAAAAGAGACAATTACAAATGTATTTTAAAAATTTTCTCTGCCGTCACCACCAATTACACTAACTACCTACCAATAAACATATCATAAAGCAAATTCTAATTTTGAAATAGAACTGATACAAATATTAATGAAGGTAAACAGCGCTCGGGTTTGTTATTTATAACGTTTGACTATTCAATCTTTCAACGAAAAGATTGCTTTACCATTATTATGAATAAAAAAAATACAAAATGACGTCATATTGATGTAACTAAACGTTAAATACCGATCTGCGTTCGCCAACGTCCATACCATGTTGAAAACACCGGTTCTCGTCCGATCACCGAAGTTAAGCAACATCGGGCGTGGTCAGTACTTGGATGGGTGACCGCCTGGGAACACCACGTGACGTTAGCTTTTTGCATTTTAAGAGAAAAAAATTGAAATACCTCACTATTTAATTTTTCAGAAATGAATACCATTAATCATAATTTTAGAAAAATAAATGTTACTGAAGACAGCCCACATTCCTAACTAGATATAACGCTTTACTAAAACAAATTACTGTACAATATTTCAAGTGCTTTATCATTTTGGATAAAAATAATCAAGTAACAACATACAGATGTAACTAAACGTAAAATACAGCTTTGCGTTCGCCAACGTCCATACCATGTTGAAAACACCGGTTCTCGTCCGATCACCGAAGTTAAGCAACATCGGGCGTGGTCAGTACTTGGATGGGTGACCGCCTGGGAACACCACGTGACGTTAGCTTTTTGCTGTTTTTTTTTTATATAAATATGCAATGAAAATACTTATCTCATAAGTGCAGATTATCCCAATATCTTTTTTTAAGAAAGACTAACAAATTACACCACATGATAAACAGTGACATTTCAATGCCGCACTATTGGCCTTCCATACATGAAACGGAATCACCGTGTAGCTACCTATCTCCACTCTTAAGTTAAACAGCGCTCGGGTTTGTTATGCTTTACCACTGTTATGAATAAAAAAAAATCAACTTCGAAAACCAAAACCTAAAATCAAGCAAAAGGTCAAAACTGAAAAGCAAAAATAACTATTATTAGTCATACGTACTTACTTAACCTATAAAGGTTACCCACCCACTGATAGGTGAGAAGTCGGTGCCACAAGTTTTAAACAAAAGTTATTCTTTAAACCCGTAACAAAAACCTTATATTCCCTAAGCTATGTACAATTTTATGACAGACTAGCAAACCCGCGGCGAACTCTGTTTCGCCACCAGATGGCTTCTTTTTATGTGACATTTCGTTTGGTGATTAGTGAATTTTCTTTGCTTTAAACCTGACGGAGCCCGACACCTTTCCAACGAATTCAAAACCGTGGAAATTGGTTCGTGAGTTATAGCATCAAGAAAAACCCGACTTATTTTTATAGATTATAACCATGACCATTAACCTATGTTATATTTTGTTATGGGCTTGTGGCCCCGACTTCTAACCTATCAGTGGGTGGGTGTGGGTAACCTATAAGTACGTGTGACTAATAATAGTAACTTTTTGCTTTTTAGTTTTGACCTTTTGCTTAATTATAGGTTTTTTGTTTTCGAAGTCGGTTTTTTTAAACGCAGTTTTTGTTTTTAATTATGGAATAAATGTTACAACAAAACCTTAGATTTCCTAGAGTTAATTTATTAACACCTTATATAGGCCCAGTTTACGAGGTATATCCCACATGGGTGTAAACTTCTCATCATTATAAATTATTCTAGCTCACACCAGGTAAACGGTTAATAGTAGCTATTAATCGTTTATCAGTACTCTTAGCTATCGTACTACTTCATCATCAGGTCCCTAATGACAATCAGACCCCATTTAGGTGTAAAGTTCTCATCCAAACAAATTACTCAAGCCCAAACACCAAGTAGCTCTACTGTCAGCCGTTGAGGAGTTCCCTTAGCTATCATAATCTTTCATCATCAGGCCCCTAATGACAGGCATGCCCCATTTAGATGCAAAGTTCTACTCACTACGATTTAATCAAGCCCAAACACCAGGTAGCTACTGTTTACCGTTGAGGATCCCCTTATAGCTATCATACTACATCACCAGTCCCCTGAATGACAATTACACCCCATCTAGGTGTAAAGATCTTCTCAATACAAATAATTGAAGCCCAAACAACGGGGTCATTACTACAAATTCTCGAGGAGTTCCCTAGGCTGTCTCTTGACTCCATCATCGGATCAACTCCATTCCTTCATGTAGTAGATTCAAATACTATATCAAAAAATTAACAAAGGCTCTCGCCACCCAAACAATTTTGAAAAGTTCCCCTCGGTTTCCACGGGATCCCATCATCAGATCCTAACCTGGTGGAAATGGGACCACCCCGAGAGTATAACCTTACCAACAAAAAAATAATCATCAAAATCCGTCCACAAACGCTGGAGTAATCGGGTAACATACACACAAAAAAAAGAAAAAAAAACCTACAGCCTAATTGATAACCTCCGCCTTTTTGGGAAGTCGGTTAAAATACAAAATGACGTCATATTGATATATTACTGTTGTCTTTACTGATGTAACTAAACGTAAAATATTGCTAATATTATTTAAGAAAAAAAATTGAAATGTTTTCCTCGCTATTTAATTTTTTAGATTAGACGTTACAACCGCTAATAATAATTTTAGAACTTTAAGCAATCTAACTAAAGGTAGTCCTCAGTCTCGAATCTCGATAAATCCTTACTATATTGAATTACTGTACCTACTATCTGCTAAAAGATAATGCTTTATCATTTTAATGAAAAAAAAAAACCTCATAAACATGTAACTAAACGTAAAATATTGCTAATATTATTTAAGAAAAAAAATTGAAATGTTTTCCTCGCTATTTAATTTTTTAGATTAGACGTTACAACCGCTAATAATAATTTTAGAACTTTAAGCAATCTAACTAAAGGTAGTCCTCAGTCTCGAATCTCGATAAATCCTTACTATATTGAATTACTGTACCTACTATCTGCTAAAAGATAATATTTTATCATTTTCGAAAAAAATATGAGGTGACGACTGAAAAATGTAACTAAAATACGGCTTTTCGTTAGCCAATGTCGATGGGTGATCGCCTGAGAACACCATGTGACGTTAGGTCTTATCAATTTTATTAAAAAAATCTAAATAAGGACCTCACTATTTAATTTTTTTGATTAGAAGTTATAATTCAGTTAATCCTAATTTTAGAACTAACAAATCAACTTAACTGGAGGCAGCCCTCAGTCTGGACTAGATATATCGCTTTACTATAACAAATTACATTCTTGAAAAATTAATGCTTTATCATTTTAAATCATCAAGAGACGTCATATAGATGTAACTAAACGTTAAATACAGATTCGCGTTCGCCAACGTCCATACCATGTTGAAAACACCGGTTCTCGTCCGATCACCGAAGTTAAGCAACATCGGGCGTGGTCAGTACTTGGATGGGTGACCGCCTGGGAACACCACGTGACGTTAGCTTTTTGCATTTTAAGAGAAAAAAATTGAAATACCTCACTATTTAATTTTTCAGAAATGAATACCATTAATCATAATTTTAGAAAAATAAATGTTACTGAAGACAGCCCACATTCCTAACTAGATATAACGCTTTACTAAAACAAATTACTGTACAATATTTCAAGTGCTTTATCATTTTGGATAAAAATAATCAAGTAACAACATATAGATGTAACTAAACGTAAAATACAGCTTTGCGTTTGCCAACGTCCATACCATGTTGAAAACACCGGTTCTCGTCCGATCACCGAAGTTAAGCAACATCGGGCGTGGTCAGTACTTGGATGGGTGACCGCCTGGGAACACCACGTGATTAGCTTTTTGCAAATTTATATGAGAAATAAAATTGAAATGCTTACCTCACTGTTTATTTTTTTAGAAATTACAACCATTCAACATAATTTTAGAATACGAAATATACAAATCCATTTAACAGTACAACTGAAGGTAGTCCTCAGTCTCAATCTCGATAACTCCTTACTATAATGAATTGATGTACTAACTATCTGCTTTTTACTGAAAAAAAAATATTTTAACTCTCATAAACATGTAGGTAACTAAACGTAAAATACGGTATTGCCATCGCCAACGTCCATACCATGTAGAAAACACCGGTTCTCGTCCGATCACCGAAGTTAAGCAACATCGGGCGTGGTCAGTACTTGGATGGGTGACCGCCTGGGAACACCACGTGACGTTAGCTTTTTGGTGTTTTTTTTATATAAATATGCAATAAATTCTTATCTCATAAGTGCAGATTATCACGATATCTTTTTTTAAGAAAGACTAACAAATTACACCACATGCATAAACAGTGACATTTCAATGCCGCACTATTGGCCTTCCATACATGAAACGGAATCGCTTTGTAACCTATCTCCACTCTTAGCAAGGAGGTTGAAGATCACAGTTCCAAAGGTTTAGTTTGTCAGAAAGCGCTGCTGCCCAGTTTCTATTAAAAGTGATAATTTATTATGACAATCCCTTTTTAGTCAGCTCTTTGGACACCAACCGGAAAATATAGAGCCAATTATAAAAATATTTTGTTTAAAATTTTCTCTGTCGTCACCGCCACTTACACCAACTAGGTACCAATAAAAAAATCATAAAGCAAATTCGAATTTTAAAATAGAACTGACACAAATATTAATGAAGGTAAACAGCGCTCGGGTTTGTTATAATGCCTGACTATAATTATAATCTTTCAATAATAGTAGGGGAGCCCATAAAGGGATTTCAGTAGTTACTCTAGCGCATCAGATTAACATATGGGGAAAACCTAGGGTCATGTTGAATATTGGGTATATATCCGATCTGATTAGAAGGGGGGGGACTAAAAATTACAAAAAAGTCTGACTAAATAAAGTCAGATTAAGGGAAGGTAGGTCAATACCATGCTAAAGGAAGCGCGTTTAAAAAATCTGCCCATTACAACTTTATATGCAAGAGTGGGGGGATTTTGAATGGTTCTCGTTTGTATCCTCCAGAACATTCAACCCCACCATGCAAACTGGCAGATTAAGAGTTTTTTTATTATAAAATACACATGGAGCATGTACACTATTATTAATATCTGACACGCTCGATGACTAGAACAAAAGTTACGCTTAACAATTTCAAAGATCTGTGGATTCCCCCTCCCCCCACCGGTGGAAGAAATTGTCACTAAACCATTTCTTCTTTCTATCAGCATAATTATCTTCAAAATCCAGTAGGTCCCAACGACGCTCAAGTAAATCCAAATTTAGCATCGTCGGCTCCCCTACTATAATAAGATACTTTATCATCCGATACTTTATCCGATTAAAGACGGATCTACAAAAATCCTTAAAAAATATTGAGACTTGTAAAAAAATATGCCTCACGCCCAATAGGAAGAATACGCCACCAATATCAACTCGCAAAAAAAACTCCTTGCATCAAAGCAAAACATTATCACCGATTGCGCCAAAAATTAAAGATACTCCTCAGAAAAAAACAAAAGTACTCAACAATGAAAGCCAAACAATAGATCTCACTACAACCGCTATGCACAATAAGAGTACACAAACAACTCCCAGCAAAATTGAAGAACACACTATTCGGCCCCAAACTAAAAACACTGTACATAATAATATTAATAAAGAAACAATAACAGGAATCACGCAGTCTAGGCGAAAAAATAAAATATGTATCCTAAGCAGCAATACAAAAAGAAGATTCCTATCCACAATTCATGAGGTATACTCAAATAACTCACACTACTGCCATTACATAAAGACCAATAGTAATGCGATTGAACTGATACGCGATATGAAACTCAAAATTAAAGATTTCAACTTAAGGGACTACTGTATTCTTCATATCGGAGAAAATGACATAAAAGGGGAAAAATCCTATATACAAATGATTAATGAAATAAGAGCAGTCTTACAAAAAGTAAACCACACAAATATAATTATCTGTGCAGCTACCTATATTACTGGTGCTCCAATTTATAACTTCAAAGTAGAGATGTTTATTTTTTTTTTTTTTTTTTTTTTTTTTTTTTTTTTTTTTTTTGCACGTAATCAAGTAACAACATATAGATGTAACTAAACGTAAAATACAGCTTTGCGTTTGCCAACGTCCATACCATGTTGAAAACACCGGTTCTCGTCCGATCACCGAAGTTAAGCAACATCGGGCGTGGTCAGTACTTGGATGGGTGACCGCCTGGGAACACCACGTGACGTTAGCTTTTTGCAGTTTTTTTTTCTCTTCCATATTTTCACTTGTTTTTACACATTTTCAGTACCTACAATGCATTAATTAATTGAAGGACTTTTCTGTTTTGTTTTGTTTTTTTTTTTATAATTATTTGAATTGTATAACGCCTTGGTTTTATGACTGTAATGTATACTATTTTAATTGAAATATATATTTGAATCCTGAGAACACCGCATTATATTTCAGGCCATTCATATATTATGACCATTCTTCTTTTGAATTATTTCAGGAGCCAAATAGCAGCAGTAAAACCGGCGTCTCACTGCGTGGACACGCTACAGAAATCCCTCCCGCAGTTGAATGTGAAGAAGCCGGGAACTAAAATATTCAGAACGCGTCCAGCTTCACCCATCAACGGGAAAAATGGTCAGTCACATCTTAATTGTACTTTTTGACTGGTTGTTGGATGATGTATACAGGTGTATACGGAACGCTGCCGATAAATGCCGACAGGTGATTGTAATTTATGTAATAATAGTTGTAATCAACCGCTCAATACTGATGTCGCATGAATACATATTAACAAAAACGATTAATTGTCAGCATTTTCGGGAGCGTTCGGTTTATATGTATAAAGGTGTACATAATAATATATAGTCTAATTAGTCTATAGGCTTGGAGCTAACAATATTGTACTATGAAGCAGTTTATAATTATACTGTCTTTAAACTCAGGACTCAAGTTGACCTGCAGTAGCGAGTAATTTTATTTATTGATGCTCATTTTGTCATATGAGAATTGCTTTTAATTCATAAAACACATAAATGTGTTATATTACAAATAGATAATATTATTATGGGTTAATAACTTGAATGTTGTTGCACTGATGAATATGTAATGTTGATTACTTGTAATTTCTGCCTCAGTAGTCAATTTAGACGTTTCATTCCAAGTACATGGAAATAATGAACAAATTTTCCACTTGAATGTAAGGATAATAGTAGTAGTATTGTAATACCCTGTGATTAGATGATATAAAACTAACTTACTAATAATAGGTATCTAATACTAAGTAAAAACTCCGTTTTTTTCTTAAAAAATGCTAGTGGATTTTGGATGCAACAATAATTTTAAACAAATGACTTGTTTATTTATATTTCACCAGGTGTAAAGCTGGTATAATAAAATATTTAATTTGCATGCCGCTTTTATTTCTTATCTTAATATGTACTAACAAATCTTTTAAACCATTTTAAATCTAAAACGCAATTAACCCTCTGCCAATGCATTTTCAGTTATACCTTATTCATTTAATTAGGTGTAAAATACCTAAATCTAAATTCTAAAGTAAGTACCTAGATACATGATATTGTTCTTGCATATTTATCTACTTCAAAACTATATTAAATAGGTATTTGGGAATAAAAAATTAAAACTAATAATATTTATTTAGAACTTCTATTAAACCCACCAATCATTTTCTTTTGTAATGTTTCTACACTCGAGTTGTATTAATCATACTATTTAAACCTTATTTTTAGGTAACCATTGGGATCAGTTTTGTCAGGCTCGGGAAACGATTGCAAAGAGCGTCAACTTTAATCGGAGCCCTGAAGTTCCACATCGCAGGGTCGAGATGGATAAAGAGTAAGTACAAGTCATGCAAGTCCTATTTTATCACATTTTCGTCGCCTTCCATGCACAAAGACACTCAATGTTTTTTTATTGTTTGTAACAAAAGTATTAAATGGTGTACAATAAATAGTTCTTTCTATCTTATCTATGCTACAGGCAGCTAATAAATACTTCTGTGTACAGTCCATATTTCTCAAAAATTTGCTTTTGTAGATACGTAATCCGCAAACATAATGCTTTATCTTAAAAAAAATATGATGATGACGTCATAAAACATAAGCGAACATAAATTTCGGCAAAACGTATGCCAACGTCCATACCATGTTGAAAACACCGGTTCTCGTCCGATCACCGAAGTTAAGCAACATCGGGCGTGGTCATCATCAATCAAGATTACAGATTACGGAAATTAATCAAGAAAGTAATCATATCGGTGATTAATGATTATCAGTTTGTAATCGTTTTTTTGATTGAAGCATACTAACTACATTTAGGAATTCGAATAATAAAATCATTAACATTGTAAATCATCTTTATTTTTTGATCAGTCTCAGTTTTTTAATAATTATTATACTTAAGAAAACAATCAAGAAATATTTTTATGTGTGCCATGTGTGGCTTAAATTAGATTTTAAAAGCACCCTTTTTTCTAACATCTCATCCGAAAGTCTGTGTGATTTAGGTAAATTGGTCATGGTCGCATATGAGAAAAGTCTTTCGACCGGACCCGATGACGGAAGAGGTGTGTTATATTTTTTAAAAACACGTTTAATTTCAGGGTAGCGATTTAGCATCGATACATCCCGATCCTGGTCCGCTAAAAAATGAGAAATAATGGCATCTGCCTTTGAGCGTTGTATTTGGTACATATCTCCCGAATCAGGCTCTGAAGAATCAGTGTCAAACTCAAAATAGCTGTCTTCATATATATTATTAGGTGTGACTTGAAGAGTTTCAGGTGCCTCATGGATTTCCTTGATTACAGCTCCTTTAAAAATAGATTTGATTCTGGAATGGTATTCTATATTAACACAACCAAGCCATTTGTCCTTGAATCTGGGATAAGACATTGCAGCAACTGCTGCATTTTGAGCTACTTTTGAGGAGAAATCAAAAAACTCTGCAAATCGCGTTTCTACGCTCTCCAAATATTTCTTTACCAACATTTGACAAAAAGTAAGAGATTCTCTATTCAGTTTTTGCAACTTTTTGCGCAAAGATACTAAACATGGCAATAATATACCGTAATACATGTCTTGTTCGCCTTGTAATATATCCAGGGCCTCTGCTATTGGTTTTGAACAACGCAAGTATTCCTTTATGTAATGGAAATCATCATCACGTAAAACGTTTGTCATTCCTAATGCCACGTGCAGCTGTACACTCTTCTCCTGTATTGATGCAATTTGTTTCAGTGAATCATAAAGGCTGTTCCATCTAGTGATTCCCGGTTTGGAAAGGGTATGACCAACAATGTCAAGTATTATTTCAGCCGATTTAGGCCGGCCGGCGGAGTTCCACAAGTTGTTGCATTTTTTAATAACTTGATTATGAATATTGCAAATACTTGTGTCGTTATTTCGTAATACTTTATTGGCGTCCGTAGTGGCACATAAGTTTAGCTTGTGTGCACAACACCTTAAATGTACAGGCAATTCTAGTATTATTGACTGTGGAATAATATTTTCGTCAAAAGCTAGCGGATCAACTTCATTATAAGTACTAAAATGCGCCACAGAAATGACCTCGATGTGAGAATCTTCTTCGAGGATAGAACTTTCAGCAGGTTCTGAATTGTCATCAATGTTATGAGTAAAATTTTCACAATTTTCCACGTCTATGCCAAACTCTTTAAATGCTTTTACAAAATTACTACCGTTATCAGTAACTGTAGCCAGCACTTTCCGGGAGTCGAGACCAAATTCAGCATGTACTGCTTCAAGTAAAAGAGCTATACGGTCGTAGCTGTGCGTACCTGAAAATCTTCGACAAGCCAGTGTTTCCGACTTCCGTTTCAGATTTGTGTCGAGCCAGTGTGCGGTAACGCCCAAAAAACTTCTTGTTTTTGCCGACCAGATATCGGCAGTTGTGCAGACTTCATCTACATCGCGCAATTCACTCTTGATTTTTGTAATTTCCTTATCAAAGCAATCATCAATCAATCGACCCAAAGTTCTTCTACTGGGAACGTACAATCCATTTGCAGAGATATTTAAATCAGCAAAGATTTTTTTAAAAAAGTGATCGTCTATTGTTTGTAAAGGAATCATAGAATGAATAAAAAACTTAAATATATTTTCATTAAATTGGTCCTGTGAAATCGTTCGATCAGTATACCTACTGATCGAACACGGTACATCACTAGTACTACCATCTCTAATATCTGGTTGCAGTTGTTTGGATGTTCTAGTAGACCGTTTATTTTTTTTCATAGTTTTCAAGTAACTCTGATACTCGTTGTGTGTTTCTTCCCCGTGTCTTCGTTTGAGATGAGTTACAAAATTTGATGTAGAATTATTAAAACCACTAATTTTAACTAGTTTTGGCCGACATAATGTACAAATTGCCACTTTCTTTTTGTTTGTAGACTCCGATTCTGAATACGTAAAAAATTTTCCATCAAGAATGCATGGTAATGTCTCAAGTTGTTCATGGTACACGGTTTCAAATTCTAAATTAGTAGATAAAGACGAAAAAGAACTTGACGCCATTTTACAATAAATACTTATTTTACAATAATAATGTTTAAACACCAAAACACAGGCCAATACGTCACGGTTTAGACTCGCGAATCAATTTACGTTTATATCCTTGCGCACTATTATACAGACTGACTGCTTGCGCTATGGCAAGAAGCGGGGTGCAGGCGGCGGACGATTGGCTTACCGGCCGTACCCTGTACCCCACCCAACTCCCGCACCCCGCGAGCCATATCTTCGAAACGCAATTGAGCACGCAGAAATTCTTTTTCGAATTTACTTAAACTGTCAAACACCAAGCGGTCACCGGTGACCGCAACCTATTGTTCTATAATTGTGTCTACAAAACCGGTACTCGACGAGTTAAGGATTTAAATAACGAAAGAGTACAAAACGTCCATGACATCCAAATTGGATCAGAAGTTTTTAGAAAAACTCAGACATACAAGATATATACTGATTGAATATAGAACGCATTTATTAAAAATATGTTTAAAAAATTAATCAAATCTACCCATGTCATGATTGAAAGTAATCAAGATTAAAAGTAATCATGATTGATGTAATTGGATTCAATCAGATTATTAATCCGATTACAAAAGTAGTTGATTACGTCCAACTCTGGTTTGACATATGCTACCGTGGAGTTTTTTGTAGACATTATGATGTACTTCAATATTGTTGTACATTATTGTGTTCTATCGCTAATATTTTCGGCAGCGCATTCGACGAAAGACATTTTAAGACTCATTTTTCTACACCTTCGGTTACATTGTTCAAATTTTACCAAGGATCCCTAATTTTTTTCAAAATGAAATGTAGCCTATGTCAAATTGGAAGAATGTAGCATTCTATTCGTGGTACTTTTTGAGCCTATTCATTACAAACATACAAAAATAGGTACAAATCGTTCCTCTTTATAATATTAGTATAGAAATAACGTTTTACTATTAATTGTTTTAGATTTGAAACCGAACCGTCCCTTCACTTTTGTTATTAAGTATTTTAACAGTTTGTGTTTTAGAAATTACCAGTTGTTTTGAAATTTCTCTTTTATTGCAGAACTACAGTGGAAAGCCAGAAATCAGAACACAAAATCGATCAATCAACAGATACTAAGAGTATCGAGGATTTCATCAGAGATATGATACGGAAAGAGTTCCAACACTTACTACAGGAGCTAACTGATGATGCGTCCACAGGCTCTGTAACAATATCCAAAAGCGAAGACATTTTGAACAAAGGAGTCGCTAACATTATCGAATCATTGAACAATAATGAAGATATGAAGTCAAAGAAAGAGCCAACGAGGTCCTTCTCTCGTGTGAAAATCAACGGGAATAACAAACCACTACTGCAGATTACGTTCACAAGAACAGGAGAAAATAGTCTACAAGTATTGGATAACTGTGTGAATGTCACTATCTGCGACCCAGGTAACAACAATGTCAGTATGAAGGACAAGATGAACCAGTCCTTGGACGATACGCTCACTGACGATATTCATGTTAACGCTCTAAAGAGGTGCCAGGCTTTCAATGCTTTACAGGTGAGAATTTCGCTAAGATTAATTTATTAAGGGTTTATATTTTTGTGACAATATATCAGGTTTTAATGATTAATGATGTTATTAACATCCTATCGATTGTCAACAGGAAGCTAAAAGTACCGAGGACTTGTACATAGACGACGACCTATCAACGATGCAGGAGAACTTCGGCGGTAAAGTAAAACTGATACCACTGCATGGCTCCCTGCACGAGATACTCTGCGAAAAGGAAGACGACTGTTGCCTCATCAAGGTTAAGCAGGAGAACGGCTGCGACACCATCTACTTCCGATGTGATAACTCCGACACCGAGTCACGGGACGCCATCGACGGCTGCCCTCGCGACCATCTGCCGCAAGACACCGTCGTCTACAAGCGAAGCATATCACTCGTCGAAGAAAGAATACAGCGCATATTCCCCAAGGAGAAACGCGCACAAACCCCTAACGTCGCTCGCAAAGCGAAACCACCTGATTACGTCAGAATACGACCCAAATCAGAAGTATTTGTACCAAAACTTACCATAGAATCTCGAGTTCTAAGCAACAGCAGCCCCTCCCTCGCCACTTGCGACAGGTCGGATGAAGTGGAGGTGAACATTGAGAACGTGCTGAGCTACCAGGACTCCTCGTCCGACGAGTGTATCCGGTGCCAACTGGAAGGCGACGACTTCGAGCTACTGGAGAAGAAGATAGAGGAAGACATCGCGAACAGTAACAAGAATTCACTCACCTGCGGCTGCCTAGCGAAGATATCGGAAGAGAACCTCGCCACTCTCAACGAGGAAAAGGACTGAATAATTCTGTTGATCCAGAATTAATGTTTGTTTAGTTGTAAACACTAATGTTGAAGCCATAAGTACAAATTTACAATACTGCATGATGAGTCGGAGGCTCCCCAAATGTTGTCGTTGATGAATCTTCGCAACTGTATTCGAAATGTCCAGTTTGACAAGTACAAAGTGGTTAGTTTTTGTATTGCACTTTTATTGATAAATCGTAATTAAATCGTTGATATTATTATCACAATTATGTTACTCATCCGTCCAATTTGTACTCGCATTTAGAAAACCCAAAGATATTTTCGTAGGTTTTCTTGTTTTAGATTTGTTTCCGTGTTTTTTTATATCGTTTTTAGTGATTATAGTGCAAGGCTATGTGATTTAGTGTAAGTGGCACCGATACATTCCACTGTTGTGATTTATAGAATAGTTGCACCTAATGAAGGTTTTACCTCGTTATACATAAATATTAGCACTTTTAATAATATATCAGGTTATTTTAATCTTCGTTTCTATATTTTTAATTGTATTGAATACACCAAAGGTTAATTAGTTGCCTGGATTGGTACATTTCTATAATCCTTTGATTTTCTAAAATGTAAGTTGGTTTATAAAGAGAGTATTATGTGGTTTCTAAACTTTCCATTTTAAAAGCTATTGTTACTCAAATGTGTGATTGATTTTAGATGTAACTGTTAAAAATAAAACTTTGTACTTAATATTGCGGTTTTATTTTACAAAAATATAAGTAAAAATAGAAAAAAAAAGCAACAGTACATGGCACTATAAAATGATAACAGAAATACGGAGTGCTTACAATTATATTACGTTTTACGTACACTGGAAGACATTGTTTGTGTTCATTGGTTCCTTTCTATCAATTAATGCATTTGTTATTAACAAAATAGATACAGAGTATTCTTCATTCATCAATCTTCTAACAGTGCTTCGAACGTTAATTTATTAACGCGCACCTTAGAACATAAAATATAACAAAATGCAGACTAATTATTACACTTTAAACATGTCCATTGCAAAAAGCTAAATTAATAACAATATTTTTTTTATCATTTAATCACCATTAAATGCAAACAGAACAAATATTCTGAAAAAGTTTACTACTTACACAAAATGGCATTTAAATGAGTATTACTTATTATATTATCTGTCTCATTAAAAAAAAAACAAGTCGAGACCAGCCATCATTACAAAAATGATTTTCAACACTGATGTGAAACTAGAAAGAAATTAATCTTTACCTATAAAATCACCGTTTCAGTCGCGAATTAGCTGTTCAAAAACGGCACTTTCATAGGCAAATACCTAAAAAAAATAGTAAATCAGTTCTAATGGCTTATTTAAAATACATCGTGTTACATTTACGTGGTTTTTTCTTTGAGCTTAGTGATGACAGCCTTGACTTCTGTGTAGTTGTTGATGCCGTATGGTCCGTTCTCGCGTCCGATGCCGGATTGCTTGTACCCTCCGAAGGGCACCTGGTTGCTGAGTACGTTGTAGTCGTTCACCCATACTGTGCCGGCACGGAGCCTCTGTAATTTTATTAATAAGTAATAAGTGAGGACTATATAAAAAGGTCTACTATAAGGTCTACTATATAATATATACTAATATGTTTTATAGCCTTCCTGGATAAATGGACTATCCACCAGTTCGAACCGCGGGTAGTCCCTTAGATTAGCGCGTATGATATAAAATACACTTAGGCGATAAGAATGGATCAAATAGCACTCGAGATCCTAGGTAACAATGATTTCAAAACTTTACTATCCAAATAAATAACACTCAATTTTAATGAATATCACATGAGATTAGTTAATGCTGTTTCTGGGGATATCTTTTTCATCCGTACTATATTAAGATATAGTACGTAATATGATAATTTTATGTACATTATAATTTGTGACAAACCTGTACAACGTAGTTAGCCTTGTCTATATCCTGTGTGAAGACGGCGGCGGCCAGGCCGTACTCAGAGTTGTTGGCGCGCTCCACGACCTCGTCCAACTGGGAGAACTTCAGGATCTGCTGGACTGGACCGAAGATCTAAACACGCAACAAGCACATATATTAAATTCAAATTAGAATATTATAAATATTTGAAAAATAATGTTAGGTATCTAATACCAATGCTAACTTTTTCAGGAAAAATACATTACCCATATTTCTATGTCAAGAATCGATTACATTTTTGTCTAACTTTTTGAATCTTTCGAATCTTCAAAGGTGAATAAGATGCCGTATCATTTAATTTAAAAAAATGGGAAACTACATACTACCCTCGAAATTATTTTTGCGAAATTATTTTGGTCCTTCGAAATAAAAATCGACACCTACAAAACTATTTTGAGAGCCTAAAGTAGAGATTTCTGTATACATAATGAAACCTTAGATCATCGAAGAGATCCATCATTATTTTGCTGACCAAAAGACAAGAGGTCTTGTCACCATGAATTCTGAAATATTTTAAAGAGTTTCTTTGCCCAACAATAATTAATAGGCTTATGTCACCATACCTCAGTGGTAGCGATGTCCATATTGTCCTTGACATCACTGAACACAGTGGGTTGCACGAAGTACCCAGTGTCGGAGCCCCGGCCTCCGCCAGCGACTAGCTTGGCGCCCTGCTTCTTACCGCTCTCTATTAGGCTTAGGATACGGTTCTGTTGCTCAGCATCGATCTACAAATAAAAATATATATTTTTGATAGATAACTTTATACACCAATAATTAACTTCATAAACTAATAGATAAGTGTCAAAAATATTCGAATAAAAATAATTACTAAAACCGTAAAAGTATGAGAAAATTAAATGTGCGTTGGTGTTCAATGAAATAAGTAGCACTTTGGCACTCAAGTACGAGATTATGCTAAAAGCGAGATAAGCTATCGCTATATACTCAGGACGGATTAGAGTAGGTACCTGGTACATAACATACTGCGTTCCTTGTTTAACCTTTTGAATGCACCGATATGAGACAATAGAAAATATATTGTGCCTCGCGTGGATCCGCGTTTTAGACACACGAAAGGTTAATAACTAATACAGTGAAACCTGGTTAAGTGAGACATCAAGGGACCTGCAATGTCGTTTCACTTATAGAGGTATTCCACTTACCCAGTGTCTCAGATATACAGGTATAAATAAATATCTGTCTCATTTACAGAGGGTTCCATTAATAGAGGTGGACTTGGAATTACGTATGGAATTTGTGGGTAGAATAAGAATGACTAAATGAACTATGTTATCTCAGTTACAGAGGTTAATGCACATAAAATTTACTCGTTGTCTCAGTTATAGAGGTAACTATGATGATAAATCGAAAGAACAAATCCCAGATATAGAGATTTACCTCGTCCCACTAACAGACGTAATTAAGTGCCAAAGTGTTGGGACCTCAGCATGAGTTCCAGTTATGGAGGTTTCTCACTTATCCAGGTCCCACTTAACCAAGGTTCACTGTAATATGGACTCAATGGTCGAGCATACATAAAAATATGCAATTGGGTAATAAATACATTTTGTGTTTGCCTACTTCTATGTGAGATGGGCATGACATTAGATTTTTAAAACTATTAGTAACAAGTGCTCCCTACCTGAGGTCCCTGTTCAGTCTCTGGTTTGAAGGGGTCTCCTACAACACGTTTCTTTGCGCGCTCCGCTGCCAACTCTACGAACTTGTCGTAAATCTTGTCCTCCACGAAAGTTCGGGAACCTGAACAGAAATAATTTTATAGTAAAATCTTGTATTCAGCTGCATTTGATGACTATGAAACTTTGGCTTGACTTGAAACTAGTCAAGTAACTTCAGATACAAGAGTAAGCCGTAGGTACGTGCAAAAAAGGTTGAAATACATTTAACAGAGGTCACTTAGTCTTGTAGTACTTGTAGCTGGCTAGTTTCATTTAAATTGCCTATTTTATTCAAGAAGGGTCTATATACCAGCACAGCAGCACTGGCCCATATTGAAGAACAGTGCGAAGTGAGCAACTTCCACAGCTCGCTCGAGGTCTGTGTCTGCGAATATAATGTTGGGAGACTTCCCGCCGAGCTCCAACGTGATGCGCTTCACTGTACCCGCTGAGTTACGCTGGATCAATTTGCCTACCTCCGTCGAACCTGGGAGGAAAAGAAAGATATTATTTGAACTGAATTGTGTCATTTTTATGCAATAGTGATTAGCGTAGCCCATGGACATTCGCAACACTAGAGGAAATTCAAGTATACATTGCCGGTCTTTTGGAATTTACCACCACGGCTACTGTTTTGTAGCATTTATAGAACACTGCACGGTTGGTGCAGTGGCTGGGCAACCGGCCGCCGTGTAACGTGTCGCGGGTTCGATTCCCACACGGAACAACACTTTGTGTGATCCACAAATTGTTGTTTCGGGCCTGGGTGTCATTGTGTATGTGAACTTGTATGTTTGTAAACGCAACCACGACACAGGAGAAAATCCTAGTGTGGGACAACGTTTTTAAAAAAAAGAAAAGAAAAAGAAAGTTTCATTAAATTGCGACAATACTTGATACATTTTATAAATTGAATATCCTATTAAATGCCTAAAGCGTTAAGTACCTCCATGTTTGTGCATGACGCATTTAAACAAATAAATATTGACAAGCGAATGCATTATATAAACGCATGCAATAAAAATGATATCGGTGTGACAATATTATGTTTATGCATATACCTAGTATAAACTTGCTAAAACGACGATAAACAAATACCTATTATTTGCAGTGTCATCTCGTTGGATATGTGTGTGTGTGTGATATGTTAAACAAATTATTGTCATTTGTAATTGATATTGAATAATTGAATAGTAGTCTGTTTTCAGGAAGACACCTTTCAACATTAGAGAAAATATTGTATCTAGCAATATTATATAGATATTGAATCTAACAGACAGTTTTCGCCCGCTGTGTGGGTGGGCAATGCATACCTTTTGTTATACTCCGGGCAAGATCTCAGACTTTGTGCTGTTCATGTTATAAAAATCTCAATACTATCTTTGCACAACTGTATAATAGAAGAGAGACTTCCTGCTTGTCTAATTATTCCCATCACAAGTTTACAACAATTCAATAATAGTATTTACCGGTGAAAGCGATTTTGTCGATATCAGGATGGTCGACTAAAGCTGCGCCCGCGTCTCCGAATCCAGGCAACATGTTCACCACACCCTCTGGGAATCCTGCCTCCTGTAGGCATCATATAATAGAATTTTAGTATTAAACAATATTAAAATATAATAATAAGATATCTTCCTACAAAAGTAATGTATAGAGCTCCTTTCGCCTGCGATACAGGATTGTCCTAGTGCAGGCATCTAACTTTATGAGATCAATTTTACTTACTTGAAACATATTTTGTATTTTGCATTTTTGAATTATGAATAAATTTTATTTATTATTTACTTCGACCAACAATAACAACTAGATAAAGGGTTACGTACAAAATCAAGCTCCAGTTCTGTCCGTGTGAATAATAATAGTAAAAAAATAACAAACAGAGAAAAATGTTTTAAAATAGTTTTAAGTTCAACCTAATAACAACCATGGCACCTAATAATAAAGTCATAAATCGTCAAAATATTATCTAATACTTACGACCATTCGTCATATAAGACAAGAAAAGTATTTTCTTACTCCTGTCATGTAGAAATTAAAAGACATAAGTTATACAATATCTAGTTTGAATTCAACCTTAAGGTCGAACAAATAAAGATAATTTTTCCATTATTGTCTTGCGATCTATATCGTTTTGTTTTGTTTCGTTTTGCTTCTTCAAATTTCGAATTTCGCTACAGGAGGTATGTATGGAGTCGCGTTGGACACTAAAATAATTTTATAATATGAAAATTAACATTTCGGGATCTTAGTATACATCACTAATTTTTATTAGCGGTACGTTTTTGTGTATGATATGTTTATTTACTTTATCGTTAAAAGTCTAAGTCTAAGTCAAAATTATTTATTTCAGTTATACCAGGAAGGCACTTTTGAACAACAACAATATAAATTTAAAAGTGAAGCTATTTGCTCATTCCAAGGTGTAGATTCCTATGGAGAAGAACGAGCAAGAAACGATACAATTTCTTATTTTTTCAATACAAATCGACTCCATGCATCCACTGTTCTGTTTATACAAATGTTGGCGAGACTTGGCCAAGGAATCGCCAACACACGCACAAACATTGGTGGCGTTGGTTTATAATTGATAATTTTGTCTAATTTGATATTATTTACTAGTTTAAAAGCTTAAAATATAACTTATACTTTATGTACTTATCAAAAGTAAGACACTCCGGCCGTTATACTGCTTTTTCGGTTGTTATTTTTGCAACTTGCAATTACTCGTGAGACGTGAGTACGTTGGCCGTGTTTGGAGCATACTAAACAAAATAAGAGCTCACTTCTCAAGTGAGCTCTTATTTGTCGAGACGATTTTCTTGCGCCGACCCGATATCTAGTTGTTATTGTTGATCGAAGATTATTTATTATTATTATAATTCATTAAGAAAAATAAAATTTAGTAAGCCTGCTCTTAAGAGTCTACTCTTAAAGTATTTTTATTGTGACTTATTTAGCGCCGGAAAAAGTGAACGCAGGATAGGTACATTTTGTTAATGATAACTCAAAAACAAATCGTAATGACCTGATGATGTCTGTTGAGGTAAGAGAATACAAGAAAGAGGACATTATTGCAGCGACTGCAAGTAGCTTCGAAGAATTAATTTCCATTATCGTCATTTTAAAAGCCTATTTAATTTCTCACCTTGACAAGTTGTGCGAGGTAGAGTGCAGTGAGTGGCGTCTGCTCAGCGGGCTTCATGACGACGGTGCAGCCGGCCGCCAGTGCGGGGCCCAGCTTCCATGATGCCATCAACAATGGGAAGTTCCATGGGATAATCTGACCGCATACACCTGGGAACAAAATATTATGTTAACTTTTTATGATGAGAACAATGTAATATTCGTGTATAATATGTTTTAACAATTTTTTTTTAAATTCCTGGATAAAAGCCGAGAGCGGTTTAATAAAATCCGACATATCTAATTGACTGATACCTATTTGGTTAAAAGTTAATCCCTACGCTGTTAGAAACCGTTTTTCTTTTATTGGCTGAATACTAGACTATTTTTTATGCATTTATTTAAACTTTAATGTTCACAGAAACAAGTGATGGTACATAAGGCGTACATTAATGCCATATTATGGCATTCTCTCCCAGTCAACGTTAGGGTTAAATAGAGAATCAGCGAAAACATTGGCATGTGTAACTATTTAATGTTCTATTTACAATGCCTAATTTGTGGATCTGTGTGGTTTACCATGATATCCAATAATTAATTCAGCTGAAAGTAGGTACCAGTATAGTTCAATCAATACGGCTGAACAAACATGAGTAAACGTAGAATTGCGAATTTGCATGGACTTATGACACCAAATGCTATAAAGTTTATATTACCTATCTATTTTTCCAAATAACTTATAGCACACCATACCTACAATAGCATGTTAGTTTTTTACCTGATTCTTACTAAATAAAGTGATCAGTAGATACATATATGTGGTGAAATTCAGTATCAACGTCTTGTGATTCCTATGTAGTCTCAATCTCATAAAAGAAAGTCCATTGTCAACTACCAGGCATAAATCCAGAATTTTAAGTTACATATATATTTTCTAATTAAAGCTGTTTAATAATGCTTTGCTTGAGTTGAACTCTATACTAAGAACTTGACTACTGTACTGCTAATAAGTGTGGGAGAGCCATGCTTCGACAAAAATGGGCTCGACCGGAGTGATACCACGGGCTCACAGAAAACCAACGTGAAACATTCTGCTTGCGTTGTGTTTCGTCGTTTGAGTGAGGTTACCGGAGGCCCAATTACCCCCCTCCCCAGTCTCCCCAATCCCCGAATCCCCCATAATCCTGAAATTTCTAATTCCCAAAAGGCCGCTAACACACTTGTAAGGCCTCTGGTGTTTTGTCCATGGGCGGCGCCGATTGCTTACCATCAGGTGATCCGTTTGCTCGATTACCCATAAAAAAGCTGTGTTTGCTAACACTAGATGACTAGACAAACAATATAATAGACAAAGCTGTCGGTATAAATATGTAGATAAAGAATTTTCGTTTTATAACTAAATAAATACACACCACCCGTTTTAGTGAATAATACATGAGCGTGTGAATAGAATGACAAATCAAAACTTTTTCAAAGAAATCAATAAGATCAACACGATAGGCTGACAATAATGCTGACAAGTAATCATGTAACAACGATCTACAAATTAAATTAACAGACATGATAGATACGGCAATCTTGCACTGGACGCTTCACGCTGTGCAGCTAGCTCCTTATCAAAATCATTGTTTGCTTACTCGATCGATGTTCAAACAAGTAATATTTAAGTACCTATATGAAGGTAGATAGGTATCTAATTTTATTTTGCAGATACAAATTGTTTATATATATTGAAATACGACAAAAACTTAATTTTGTCGGACTTTTTTTAAAGATTTTTAGGTATTTTTCGGAATAGCTTATTCCGTTCTAGTAATGTGCCTGATAGCAATATTACCACTGCCGACAATATTCCCAATATTGCCGCTGCCGATAAAATATCAATATTGCCGGTAACATTGGCAATACTGCCGGACTGTATTGTTTTGTAAGGTTTATCGAAACATGTGTATTAAAATACTTTTTTTTAAATACTAACTGTTGCCCGCGACTTCGTCCGCGTAGAATAATGACTTCCAGCAGAATTCATCAGAATCGATTCAGTGCCTAAGTTATTGTCAAATGAATTTATCGTGGTTTCAAAAAATAAATAATCCCGCAATTAAATAAATGATAAAAATAAATAAATTTTACCAGTACAGTGCCCATTCCCGTAAGGTTTTAGTGATATAAACTATTCTATTGGCTATTGTTGTATCGAATCTCTCGAAAATAAATTCAGTGGTTAAGAGATAGAGTTCCGGGGCTTTAACGCATAGTTCCCGTTCCCGTGAGACGACTATGATAAAAACTATCATACATCGTTTCCTAGGTCTCAAACTATCGTTTTACCGAATTTAACTCAAAACGATTTAATGATTCTAGATTTAATAGATTGAATGGATAAGAAGATTTATACAAACTCTCAAAGCTAAAACTGACAAAAGTTCATACATACTTTCAAGCCCTATTTTATTCCCTTGGGGGTGGAAATGATTAAAATACTTTTTAGCGAATGCCTAGGTTATAACATCTGCCTGCATGCCGAATTTCAACCCGATCAGTCCAGTGGCTTAGGCTGTTTGTTGATAGATCTCTATGTCAGTCAGTCTTAGATATATTTATTTAGATTAAAATAATATTATTTTTTTTCATTGTTAGTAGTATTAATACAGATTTGTGAAGATTAACACTTTGTATTTGTTATGCAATTTTACGTGAAAAACAAGTACAACATTAAAAGAAATGATTCGAATTTGTGCCTTTTATTCAATACAAACCGAATATCATTTTTACTTTAATATTTATGTATTATTTCTTCTATTCGCTATAGTTTGCGACAACATTAGCAATATAGCCGTAGTGTGCGGCAACATTGGCAATATTGGCGGTAAAACGTCGGTAAAAGGATTGTTGCCTAAACTGCTGACAAATTGGCAGTTTTACCCAAAAGAACACTGTTGGGTTCGATAGTTAAGTGGAGAGAAATAATCGACTTGTGGACTGTATAAGTTAATATAATAATCAGACTGTTACAATGACGGTTATAAGAAAAATAAATATATATTAAGGGCTAGAAAGCGCGAGCGCGGTAATGCGTCGTAGCGTCTAACAGTCAACTGGTGTATGTCGGGGCATCGAGTGGCAGGCGGTTGTCGCCGCGCGCGGCCAATGACTCAACAAACACTTTAATGTATATAAGGTGGTATATTAATATCTGCCACGGTTTTAATGGAAGGCAGTGTTGTGTTTGAAGATTATACTAGTAGATATAAATTATTGATTATGAGTCATTTATTTTTTCCTACAAAAAATCTACGTATTAATTTGTATTGATTTATTGGCATAAAACCATTCCGTGTTGCCGCATTGCACCGAATTTATTCAATTCGCAAAATGCAGGCGCCACCCCGTCATACACTGTTCCATTCTTATCAAACGCGACCGCTCGGTGCCGACACAGGCGCCGGCTATGCGGCGAGGGGAACGCCAATGCACAGCCCCACCCTCCCTTGCACTCGTCGGTCGCCGCACGCGCTGATCAACCGGCCGCCCGCCCGTCAGTAGTCTAGCTCCCGCCCGCCCGTCAGTAGCCCAGCTCCCGCCCGCCCGGACGTTAGTTTCAGTGTCGGGGATAACACGTGCGCTACGTAAAAATGCCTCCCAGGCGACTATATTCAAATCAAGAATATCTTGAAATGGTGTTGTGCTACCGCGAGTGTAAGTCCATAACTGCACATGCGGTCAATTTATATCAGCAGAAGTTCGGTGTGCGAGTGAGCCATCATACCATCCTGGATGCAGTGTACCGATTGCGAGAACACGGCCGCTTTGACCCGCCTCTGGTTGACGTAGGTAGGCCTCCATTATCGGCCGAACTCGAAGAGGAAGTGTTAGAGTTTTTTCGGCGTCACCCTCTTGCGAGCACAAGGGATGCTGCCCGAGTTTACGGTGTCAGCTATAATTACGTGTGGCGTCTTTTAAATCGCGAAGGGCTTCATCCTTACCATTTCACCAGGGTACAGGAATTACACGAAACTGATTACGCGGCGCGCCTCACGTTTTGTCGTTGGCTAAGGCAAGAACCCCGCAACATTCTTTGGACAGACGAGTCCACATTCACACGGGTTGGTATGTTCAACATACACAATGCGCACTATTGGACTGATGCGAATCCCCGCGCTGTGAGGCCTGACCATATCCTGACTCGGTTCAGTGTCAATGTGTGGGCCGGGATACTCGGCAACCGAATTTTAGGGCCAGTGTTTTTGGATAGACTGGACGGAGACACGTATCTGCGCTTATTACAAATCCGTGTGAGAAGAATGTTGGAGCGTATTCCTCTTGAAGAGGTAAGAGGGCTGTTCTTCCAACATGATGGAGCACCACCACATTTCGCACTCAACGTGCGTGATTTTTTAAACGGTGTGTGGTTCGGCGGTGACCGGTGGATAGGAAGAGGTGGCCCAGTGCCATGGCCTCCGCGCTCGCCGGATTTAACTCCACTAGACTTTTTTTTGTGGGGTCGTGTAAAGGACCTTGTGTACGGCCAAACTGGACATGACATCAGAAGTGTGGAAGAACTAAAAAGGCGCATCAAACGCGCATTTAGGCAAGTGAAAACTGAAACGGACACATTAAATAAAGTGAAAAGACATGTTAGGAAGCGTGCCTTCATCTGTGTGCAACGCGAAGGTGGACTTGTGCAACAGTTTTGTAGATAAGTAGGTAGAGGGTGTGTAAAAAACTGTAATTACGGTACAATTGTTGTAAATAAGTAATTGTGCTTTTAAAACACTTGTTAGTCTGCCTATTGAGCATCTAGTAGATTATATCGTGACGATCTAGTCGGCTGATTTCCGTTTTCATTCACAGTACACGTGGAAAGAGATAGTAATGATGATGTTTTCATTGACTAAGCGACGCATCGCGCGTAATTTGTGAACCACATTATGCAGAATGTAGTCAATGTTTACTTAATTTCATTATGTTCTCAAATTGAATATATTGAATATATACAATACTACGTCCCATTAAAGCCGTGGCAGATATTAATATAGCTCCTTATATGATGTAGACGATGGGCTTTAAATGCTAATGTCAAGTACAGCGCATAGTTTCGTAGTTAATTTCACTCCCGACAATATTGCTGGCAATCTTGCCACAAAAATTTCCACTTCGGGCAATATTGCCGGCAAACGGCACATCTTTATTCCGTTCCTAACGAATCTTTTTTCTTTGGAGAATGAAGTATGGACAGAGGAGTAGCAGTGGTATTTTCAAATATAGGTATCTCTCACAGTCTACGAACCATGCTAAAATGGGATTATTTACTGCTTTAATTCAAACAAACTGGTTCCGAAATAGCACTCCATTATGTACCCCACCTATGGAACCCTAAATAGCCATATCAATTTTGCAAAGTCAATAAAAACTGCTGTATACCTAAGTACTATTTGCGCAGTCACGTTGTATTATTCCATAAATGACATAATACGCGCTTGTTATCATTGTAACGAAGATATTCATCAAGGTCACGGTCGAGGCTGGCTGAAAATAACAATATTATGAGTATTCATGTATTTCACGTTATATCTTACTATCGGAATCGGACTATTGGACCTGTTTTTTAAATGAAGAAAATATTTTCTGGGCATTCAACATATTTTTCCTAGTTCTTTTTTTACTTTTTGAGAACAGATAGGCAAGAAAATGTAGGTACTGAATGCACTAAAAAATAGTAAAAAGAGGTGATCTAATGTTCCTAAAATCTGATACATTTTGTTTATGAAAACTGCATTTATTCTGAGTCGACACGAAGCAGCCATCTACGCTGCCACAACTAAATTAAACTAAAAATAAACATCAAATCGATTCAGTGTTTTGAGCGTAGAAGAAATAGACAAGTGCAGTTATTTTCGCACTTATAAAAAATATTAGCTACTACCGCGCGATTTCAACCGTTGCATATCTCAACTCGTATTGATCATGTGTGTACCTACTCACTCGCATGGCCTACAGTCTTCATCGACATTATGGACTATCCAACACAAGTTTTTTTTAGACTAGGAGATTAGCACGTTCATCCAACCAAACAAATAAACTCTTTAGATTCGGGTTCGGATTTTCGGATGCTATTGTGCTACGTCTGGCTTGTCCACAGAAATATTCTTTATTATATCTATGAAGTATGGTGTTACCGTCGGATGTTGCGCATAAGTTGGACGCAAAAGGTCAGGAACGATACCGTGCTCCAGCGCGTCCACACGCCACGCAAAACGATCCAATCTATCAAAAAGCGCAAGATAGAACATCTCGGTCACGTACTGAGACATGACAGATATATGCTGCTTCATCTTATAATGTTGGGTAATGTGGAAGGGGAGAGAAGGTGGTGGGAGAAGGAAAAAGTCGTGGCTGCGCAATATTCAGAACTGAACCGGTATCAGCTCTGTGGAACAACTTTTCCGTCTGACCAATGACAAGGACCAATTCAAAAAGCTGACGGCCAACCTACAGGAATACATACTATCAAAGTATAGAAGAAGAAGAAGCCTTATATTAGTAGTTAGGATTAAACACACATACCAACAGGCTCATGCCGTGTATAAGCGAAGTAGTTTCCATCCATGGGTAGCACCAGTCCATGGCTCTTGTCTGCCCAGCCAGCATAGTAACGCAGGTTGTTGATCACCATCTGCACGTCACCGTAGTAAGCTGCTGTGTATGGCTTGCCGTTGTCCAGGGTTTCCAGGCTCTGGGAAAAAAGGTTTTGTGTTAGCGGATTTTTGAATTGAGAATATCAACCCTATGGCCTTGAAGAAAGAAAACATATTTTAGAAAACAGACTCCAGCAAAGACTTTCACTCCTTACTGCTTCTAAAAAAAACCAAACTGAGTCGAATCGAAACGCTTCGCGTGTGGGGGTGGGATATTCTGATATTCTCCATAGACCGGTGGCGCTAGTTGATGTTTGTTTTGAACCATATTAAAAGAAGGTGAATTTAAAGAGCTATTGAAGAAACTCGTTTGTCACTGTATAAAATGTACGAGATAATGATGTGGGTGAAACGCTATAAGTAATACATTTTATTGTGGAAATACAATTTGAGATCTTAGGCTAACATTCTCGACTCAGATTAAAATACATACTCTTACAACAAATTCGGAGCACTTTTACTATGCTACAGCCACAACTGCATGTAGATTTTTTTCGGATAGCAAGATTAACTTTAGGATTTAGGTGCGAAGCTTTCCAAACCGTCTCAACACTTTAAACATCAGCTTTACCAACGCAGTTCTTGACACATTTATAGCTATTTACAGCGTAGCTACATAGGTATGCGTAGATATTATACAACTGCATACAAGTCGTGCAACTTAAGAGTTGAATGAACGGGCACCGGCTACTCGACGAGAGTAGCGACAACCATCTCGGCTTAAATAGAAAATTATATTCCTGCAAGATGATAAGATTGTAGGTTAAGATACCAAGATTGGTTGGTAACTACAGCGACATTTAAACTATTTTCTGTATAATAATAACTTTAGTTAAACATTTTAAATATAGCGTATATATATTCCATGTATAAATCATGGTTGATTTTTAATATTTCTGTAATAGTTGATCGTGAGAAAAATAGAGTCTCAATCACTCAATGCTCATGAATATGAGTCCCAGTGAAACTAGTCGAGCTTTTTTCCATTAGTCCACTCGAGTAAGCCGTAAGTAATTAAAAACTTGTTTCTTGTGGACTCGCCGTTCTATCGTCGGTGTTCAGGCAAATTTAAAAAAAAAACATCTAGACTTGGACTTACAGTGCTGACGAAGCAAAAATATAATGATTTATGACACATTGTACATTTTAATCAAAGGTTGATCCCTTACATATTTTATCTATTATTTCCTATCGTATTCGGGAGATTTTATCGAAGAGGACCAGAATTAGTCAGTCTGGATTCATATTTAATCGTTTTATCTACTAAGCGATATCAAAATAATAAGAAAAATAAAAAATAGATGTATTTGTGTTTGTCATTATGATATGGATGTAAAACTAGATAGTGCATGTTAGTTTGAAGGCGTATAGGTAGGTATTAGGTATTATGAACCAATAACATATTATATTTTTATATGTCTAATCTGGAAAATTTATTGAAAATATTGGATAAGTAGGTAGTACTGCTTAATTTTTTTCTGGAATAAGTCTCATAATCTTAGTCACCTCCATTGATTATTATTTGATGTTCGTAAAATGTTTTTTAATATACCTAAAGATACTTATTAGAGTTACTGGACAGAATAGATGAACAATTTAGTCCAATTTCGACTTTGTATACCAAAATGTAGCGCTATCGGTTAAGTCCCCTTTTATCAGAGGTCACATTAAACTGAGATAACAGTACATGAAATGTTTCTTTATGCCACTTACAGAATATTATGTCTCTATTCATAACGCTCAGACTAGAAGAGGTAGAAAGATTTATCGTAACTTAAGTAAGTAGAAATCTAAAAATCGCGGGTTATTCACGTGAATATACTGAGAAAAGCTCTACTAGTTTCGAACCACAGAGGGGCTCTTCCTTATGAGCAGCGTGCGCGGTCACGGCGATGGCGCGCAGCCTTAATTTAGTATGTCTCACAATCGTTATTTTAAAAAAGATATTGAAAGAAGATGTTTGATTAAATCGCAGAATTTGAATTTTTCATGCTTTTTTGTTATTGAACTTATTTTTTGTCATTACAGGAAAAAATTGAGTGATATTCTTATCGATTATGAATTTATAAACATACATTCATAATGCTTTACCAAAGTTGAATAAAAACGGTGAACTTTTTGCTAATTGAAATTGACTAGCTTGAAGTTGGTGTCAAGGCTGTACCTACTCATTTATGGGTATGCGTTAAGGAAAATACCTGGCGGCTATTGCACTTAAGACTTGCAAACAGCATACAAAACGAAACTGCATTCTAAGAATAGCGTAATTTGCAGACAGGAAAATTTACTTCGCTTATTACGGTTCAGATTCACTAATTGGGAGTTAACTGTAAGTTAATAATGTAGAAATAGGTTCCTACACTATATTTGATCACTAAACCAAATGGTAAGCAGTCGGCCCTGCACCTCGATTGGAGATTTGATATTATCATCAATTGGCTGTAATTTCCTCGTAAGTGCTACTACCACCAAATGACTACTGACGGTTGATGCATAACGTGTCGCGGGTTCGATTACCGCACGGAAAAACTCATTGTGTGATCCACAGATTGTTGTTCCGGGTCTGGATGTCACGTGTATGTGAACTTGTATATTTGTAAACGCACCCACGACACAGGACAAAATCCTAGCGTGTGAACGTTTTTTTGTAAACAAATAAACAAAAATAAAAAATTTACTCTACCTACTTACACATTTTGTATGGAGCTGATGTCAAAATGATATCTCAGTAAGCAAATCTACAGATAGATAGGTTATAGAAAATGGCCGTTATAAAACATTGATCTACCGCTGAAATACTCAAACGCCACACTATTTTAAATTACGCTTCAGTATAGTTCTGTCACTACAAATTCTTTGTAAAATGACAGAGATGGCACGATATTTAAGTACAATTTAAAATTGAGTAGCCTTTCAGCCTTCGGGCGTTTGTATATTACTATTTTGGTGCCATAACAATACCAGCGCCACCACGGCAACACAGAACCGATCAATCTCCTTTATAAGTAGGTACTGTGGGTGACACATTAATAAATCTGTCTCCCTCCCCAAACAGAAGCTATTTTCGTACCCAATCAATATTTGAGGCCATAACGCACCAATACCAATATTTGCTTCAGATATTAAATTGCTAATGCTATACAAATGATTACCTACGAATAACAGGTATCTATATATTATGGGAAAACGTATAGATGGATCATCTGATGGTTGATTGTTTTGGGTATAACTCTCTAAAAGTTAGACAGGAAATGCAACAAATTTTAATAATATACAAAATTGTTCACGGTCGAATTGATGATCATGAATTGCACAATGAATTCCTTCGTATTTTTGCTCCTGATCCTGACAATTACTGTCGCAACAGAAATCACCAGTTATTTGCTATACACTCTTACAGAACAGTCAGTAGAGCTAAATCTCCGTTACCACGCACGATGAAACTTTGAAACTGATTCTTGGATTCAGCGCCAGAGTGTGACGTGTTTTCGAGTGAAAGAAGACTATTTTTGTTGGAATGCTTGAAGTTTTGCGAAAGAGATGAATGAATTTAATTTTTTTTAATGTATTTTTTTTATTAATGAATATGTATTGAGTAGCCAAAGGCTCTGCTCATGGACGCCCGAGGAGTTTACAAGAGGGCTGGTCTTTTGGTGATTTGGGGATAGAGGGAAGAGAATTGGGCCTCTGGTAATTTCCGTCACACGGCAAACTACAACGCAAGCGTTGTTCCACACCGGCTTTCTATAAGGCCGTGGCAATCATTCCGGTCGACCCAGACCAATTCTTTCGAAACATGAATCTCTTGTGTAAATTATTTATTAAGATCAAGTTCAGAATAGCGTGTTATCGGAGAGGAATAGTACTTGGAACGACCGGACATGTGCTGATGATGATGATCTAGAATCTAGCCCTCAATTCAATGAGATTGTTTGCTAACTTGCTGATACCATTTGTGCCTGTGCTATGAGAAGATAGGTAGGTACTTACAGCCAAGTAGTTCCTGTCTCTTTCAACAAGGTCCGCAAGCTTGCTAAGAAGGTAACCACGTTGGGAGGCGTCCATTTTTCTCCATGGGGAACCCAGTCTGTTTCGAAAAAAATAATATTATTCTGTACCTGTATGTTGAGTAGATATTAATCATACCTACAGCCTGACATCCTGATACAGTTAATGAAAATAAAAGAGAAAGATATTTTTTTATGGGATAAGTCGGTAAACGAGCAGACTTGATGGTAAGCAATCGGCGTCGCCCATGGACACCTGGAACGCCAGAGGCGTTACAAGTGCGTTACCGGCCTTTCGGGGATTAGGAGTTTGAAGATTTTTGGGATTCAAGGATTGGAGAGATTGTAGAAAGGGGGGGGGGTAATTGAGTCTCCGGTAAGAGATTACCGAGTGTGTGAGGACTGAGGACTCACATAACGAAACACAATGCAAGCGTTGCTTCACGTCAGTTTCTATAAGGCCTTGGTATCGCTCTGGACGAGCTGGCCCATTCATTAACTCGAAATAATTTCCATTCTTTTAGTTTGTAATTTGATTTTTTCTGTTAATGACAAACTTACTTAAAAGCATCTTTGGCAGCTTTAACAGCGATGTCGACGTCAGCTTTGCCAGCTTGCTGTACATCAGCGATTGGCTGGCCAGTGGCGGGGTTCTCAGTCTTGAAAGTTTTTCCATCTGATGACTTCACCCATTCATTGTTGATGAACAGCTAAAATATTAGTGGCTTTGGTAAATAATATGCTCACAGGAAAGATGCAATTGGATGAAAGGGAATGTGATGAAAAGTATCACAGACAGGTATTTTTCTGAAAATAATTCGACTAATACTGAGTGTAAACGGAATGCTCCGAAAAATACTGACAAAAATAATTGATTTATAAATTTTACCGTTTTTGTTTATGTGTTATTCATGCGTCATCAGTCTTGTATTATATAATAGTAGTATACTACTACTACTAATAGTAGTATACTACTACTACTAATAGTAGTATACTACTACTATTATGTAGGTATTGATGATGAAGAGTTTGTTTGTTTGAACAAGGTAATCTCAGGAACTACTGGTCCCATTTGAAAAATTCTTTATTGTGTTGGATAGTCCATTTATTAAGTAAGGTTATAGGCAATAAAACATCACATTATGACCAATAGCAGCAGAGGGGGTAAAACCATGCGGTAGCAGCTAGTTATTATAATATAAAAGAACCATTTCATTCCTTACTTTTATGACAATAAAACCTGTTTTTGTCCATCACCTGTCAGTGTTTTGTGGGTATTCCCTTTACATACTCTATTTTTTTTTTCAGTCCACTGCAGGGACAACTTTTTTTATATCTTTAAAATAAATAGAAAAAACAAACAGACTTGTTAACTAATTAGAATAGAAGTTTGCTATATTATTCCAATTATTATATCCTTGTACATTTAAGTTTTACTTATTGCTGTCAAACAACAATTCAAATTAATATATTCTTGTTAGTTTAATATTGAATAATAAATAACTGATTCAAATAGGTATTTATAAATATTTAATATCTTAATAATGTTATAATTTTTGAATAAAACAGTTTGAATAATATATTACGATTGAACTAATGTAGTAAAGCAAATTATTAAATATAATTTTAAATCTCTTATTGCATTGTATTCTGAAACTTTTAAAGCATTGTATTCTGAATTTTTGGATTAAGGATGCATATTAAAATAATGAAGATGCTGTAAAATTGAAAATATATTAGGTATATTGCTTAAAAATATAAAAAACAATTTCATAAATAAATATAAGTAAACTTAGAGAATGGTTCTTTACTACCTACTATAATTTTATATTGATATATAATTAACATCTAAAAGAAATGTATCATCCATTTCATTTAAACCAAGAAATGTATGTATACATTAATTTGATTTGAAGGTAAGAATCAAGTTAACTGTTTCTAATTAGTGGCATTTATAGGTATGAGACAACTGTACATATATGCATAAATAAATATAGCACAGTAAAAAAACCAGGAAATCATTATACTTAGATCATAATTAATATTCATAGAAAAAATATAATACCAGATCTTATCTCTAACATATGGCTACTGGAGCCGGCAGCCGGCTATTCGACCTTGATCGGTTTATGAGCTTAAAAATAAAATTATAGTTTGTATATCTATAAAAATAATTTTCCAAAAACAAAAAAATATTTCTGTAAAAACTCTACCGTCTACTCCACCCGGCTATTTGGACTAAATTATCACACAGATCATAATTATTTACATACATTCTGAACAAATACTTCTATTGTTGATCCATAATAATATTATGTATTGCTTATTAAATAATTGGACATACCCCAGTGTAAAGAATCTCTGGCTTCGTTTGAGGTGCCGGTACAGCTGTGGCGAATCTCGCCTTTTGCTGAATGTTTCTGCTTATTTGCCGCAACATCTTATATTTAACTATACGTGCAAATACTTCTGTAATAAACCCACAACTGGCACCAACTGGCACGATTCCAAGTTCCCGCGCCACTGACAGTGACAGTGGCAATGACAACCACAATCATTTACATTTTGCTTTTGATACTGATTGGTAAACCTCAACCGTCAATTACCGAAAATGTCGACTGCCTCTCTATGTATTCCGTTGTGTCGTTTAGTCGACTATGAATAAAGGTTGAAAATTCTTCATTAATGGTAACTCCAGATTGTCAAATCTGTTTTTAAAATTATCAATGTCACTTTGATTGATCATTTGTTGACGATTGACGTTAAAGAGGGGATATTGACGTTTTTGTTGACGTTGAACGATGGAACACAAACTTTGAAATAGTTTGGCTTTAAAAATTTAAATTGAAGGAAAATGGACAGATCTAAACTATCATTAATTATTAAAGGATTATTTAAACAAATGGATACCAAAATATTACGTATTCTTGTGTCTATTGACGAACAAATTACAAAAAATTTAAAAGACGGTAATATTGTTACCAGGTAAATTGAACTTTGAACATTATTTTAGATCCGGGTGTTTATATTTATTCAATTTTATGTGACAAGATATTATTATAATTTAATTATAAAATATTTAACACGTTTTTCCAGGCCCTCAAGTACAAATGGACTATGGAGTTGTGTACTTTTACCAGCAGTACTTGTATCATATTCAACACTTTACAATCAAAATGTGTCTGAATTATACATCTTCTTGGCTTATATATCGATTGGACTAGCATCCTACAGTTTTCTTTTTATTATATTTATTTCTGTTTCTTGCTCGGTGTTGAAAGAGAATATTTATGGAGGATGTACAGCATCTACGTTGGTTTCATCATTATTGTTGTATGCAGTGCAAGGACAAGGTAAATAACGAGTAACTCCTTATTTCTCAAACCTGATAAAGATCATAAATGATTATAAATAAATGTTTTCAGATTTAATGTTTTCTCTGGTTTGGTCAACGGCTGCAGTGATGTCGTACAGTGCTCTCATGAAAATAGCCCTCATAGTGTACCCTAAAACATTTACAATAGGAGAAGCCATGATAGTCACACAGAGTATTGTGCTGTTCAGTATAACAACCGTTGGTAAATACTTTTACAACATGGGAGCAGAAGACGATGTAGAAATGAAATTCATTAATGACGTTATCTTTGTAAGTATATAATTATCTTCTGAATGGATTAATTATAATGATTATTTAAATACTGCAAGTTGTTGCTGTAAAATGTGATCGACATTCACACATTTTTTAAAACTATAATCCATATGTAATAATATGTATAGAATCATACTTTTTATTTTTTTAATTGAATTGAATATCTATGGGCGATCAGTGGCAAGACTATAAGCTGATGAGTTCAATTGTTATAGTGATTAAGCAAAGGAACCAGTATCCCTTCTACCTTTTCAAAGCATGTTCCTACGCTTCAGCCTATTCTTACTTCTTATATCATAAATGCGAAAGTTTGTGAGTTTGTGTGTATATTTATTGCTCAACTACGTCAAGCTTCCTTGTGCGTACTGCTAAGGAGTGGAATTCTTTGCCTGTGTCTGTATTTCCTGAAGGGCCTATAACCTGGGTGTCTTCAAGGCTCGAGTGAATAGGTTTTTTATGGGACGACATGCTCTATCGTAGACCGCATCATCACTTACCACCAGGCGAGATAGTGGTCAAACGTCAGCCCATCAAATATAAGAAAACGGTTTAAGGGATAGGAATGATATTTAGAACAGGAGTAGATTATGGTTTGGAATTAGAATTACACATAGGCTACTTCTCATCACACAGAAAAGCGGGCACACCCGCTAGCAGAAGCTATTTGTATTATACAATGAGTAGTAAGTAAGATTTGTTAATCTAATATTATGTGTATTGATAGGCGCCGTTTAAGGGTGCCATGTCGTGGCTGAAAAACTTATGTTATAGATAGGGGAAATTCTTTTCATCATGCCAGCTTCTAATTTATTTGAAACCACAATGGTCAACCACAACCTTTTTTTTCTCTATTAATTATATCATTAAAATAAATTCCTTCTTTACCTAGCACAAACAACTTTTCTGTTCATTTCAGACTATATTATCAAGCGTGGGAATTATCGTTGCAGCAATATGTATTTTGGATGAGACTCAAAAAACTTTATCCGTTCTTACCTACATCATCTGTGTGGCCGGCACTTACGCGTTAATGATCTTACATGTTAAAGTCGGAGTTGATTGCATATTGAGATTAGCTGAATATATTCTCCTGGACACAGACAGAGTGAGTGTTTTATTATAGGTATATATTATACCAAAACTAGGTCTGAAGCAGAGTGTATCTAAGTCCAATTAAACACATTTTAGTTTTTTCAGACTTATTTACTTTTTTTAGTGGAAATATGTTTACGGTATAGCAATTTAATAATACAATATAATAGTTGTATTGTAACTTTCGTGAGAAATACTAAATAAATTATTATGTTTTCGGCTTACTCACGTAGTAATTTGACGAGGAACTCGCGAAATGCTGCTCATGAATATGAGCCTCTAGCATGGCTTGAAACTAGTCGAGTTCCTTAGGTGAGTGAGTAGTAATTTGACAAGGAACAATATAATAATTTACAATAAAATAGGCTGAGAATTTTAAATTGAAAATATGGCATCTCCTCACTTGACTTTCTATTCTAATTCTAGCAAAGGGAATGTTTCCATCATATAATTGATTGATTGGTGATCACATAACACTTTACTTCCAGGTATTATTATTCCTGTTCTGGCTCGGTTGTGCAGTTATATCAGCATGTGTGATACTAGTCCGCACTCATCTCAAAGTGAAAGCCAGCACCGTTACTCGCAAGACATTCCATATACTTGGCTCCTTGGTATTCTTATCTGGGATATTGTATAACATTCGACTGATGACATTAGCTGCTGGATTCGGCTTTGGGCTTGTTATATTACTTGAGGTGAGGTATAAAAATTATGTAATGTAATTTGAAATAATATCATACCTGTTATCCTGCACAACAACTCCGCCGGTTCGATTCCCGCACGAAGCAACTCTTTGTGTTTGTAAACGCATCCACAACAAAGAAGAAAACTCGAATATAGACGTTTTTTTAAAGAATAGTCAGTAGTTGCTAACAGCAGTTCAAAACTGGAAATGTTTCAAATCAATTGTTAAATATTTTAATTTCAGGCACTTAGGAAATCTGGGATAGAGCCGATTTCATCGTCACTTCAGTCTGCATTCAATGTGTATAGTGATGAAAAGGTATGTTAGTATTTTCTCAATCGATTTTCAACTTATTTGATTTTGAAATAAAGTCGGAAATAGAATAACTCTAAGTCTTTTTTATTACTTATATTTTATTTCTATACTATTGTAATGAGAGGACATATATCGAGGCTTGACTATCCTAATCACCTGTGCATCGGATTTGCGAAAAAAATCATCATCAGTTCAACGTCCACTTATGAACCCTCTTATAACGCCACGCCGAATACAAAATTATTATAATTTTTGACGATTTTTTCCAGGATGTTGGTAGTTTCGCAATGACTCCGATCTACCTATACGTAGGGTTGGCCTGTCCTCTAATATTGGTTCCAGTACATCAAGGGTATGAGCTCGAACTGCTTAGTGGAGTGTTGTCCATAGGAATCGGAGATACTGCTGCCAGTTGGTTTGGTTCTAAGTTCGGCATGAACCAGTGGGGAAGTAAGTTCTTCATGTAACTACTGAGTTAAAAACGCTAAATATTACATTACTCACTTTGGCAATCGCGTTTTCACTTTCCCAACGAGATGAGAGATTTTTTAACTAAACTCAATTATTATTTTGACTATTTATTTTGTGTTTATGTTCTGTTGTTAAATGTCATAAAAAGTATTTTAATTTCAGCTGGACCTAAAACATATGAAGGAACAGTATTCAATATTCTATCTCAAGTTGCGCTGATGTATGTGATTGAACTGTTTGGTAAGTTAGACTATTATTAATACTGGACCAACTTGTATAGGAAAACCCTATTGTGAAACACCAGATACGATTTTAGACCCTGTGATGGCCTCTTGCTAGGTGGACCGATGATATCTTGTCTTCTTCGTTTTTCGACTGATGATGATAACTCATATTGCCAGTTTTATGGAACTGATTTAAAGCTGTTGTTCTTGTTAGAATCTTGCATGAAATAAAATTACCCACAGTTTTTTAATATCAATTCCTAATAATAAAATGAATTAATTTGCAGGTCTAATGAGCGTGAATAATGCTATGCTTCGTGTAGCGATTGCGGCGGGAGTGTCAGGAATAGTAGAAGCGAAAATAGATCAAGTAGATAACTTAATATTGCCATTAGTCACCCTAATTTCATTTCAAGCTACCTGGATATTATGCTAAAGTCAGGCAGAGTTACTTAAAAAATTTTTTTTTGTAAAGATATGTGCCACTCGTGTTCTGTGTAAGGCTGCGTTTCCACGGACGCGGAGCTGGGCGGAGAGGAGCGGTGAAAAGTGGTCAGTGTTTCCACTGAAGCGGTGCGGACTGAAAAAGAGCACAGCGGAGCCTACTTTGACAATTGCATATTTTTTCGCTTAGTTGCAGTCAATATTTCAGAAAGACCATTCGTCGTGTTGTGGATTAAAAGGAAAAAAGGAATCATTTTAGATCTTTCTCTACTTGAGAAGGAATCAGATGCCGTAGCATTTACTGTTGCCCTCATTGTCCTTCGCATAGTAGGCAGTAGGTACTGGCCCACTGTCCTCCGCTCTGCACCCGAATGCTCGTTGACCTCCGCACCGCATTGCTTTGCTGTATTTTTATTATGAATATCCGCTCATCTGTACTCCACCCCGCTCATGCTGTTTCCATTGAAGCGGAGCAGAGATTTCGACTATAGTGATTGGTCAATTCGTGCAACGCTAAGCTCCTCTACGCCCCGCTCTGCGCTAATGGAAACACAGCCTTACTGTTCTATTTTTCTAAACTTAGTCTAGCTTTTTGAAAAAATTAGAGTATGCATTTAATTTTATTCTGTGAAATTTTGTAAGTATATTATTATGGTGTTATTTATTGAAATAAATTTTACGTATTTTTATTGGGATTATTATGTAGATATTTTATATTTTTATACGAATATGAAGAAGTAATGACATTGTATTAGTATTTCTTGTATAAAATTATTTTTTGTAAATATTGTTGAGATTTCAATACATTCCTATATTACCAAAGACTTACATTATTTTGTAAATAAGAAAGAGGATATTTTTATAAATAAATTATTTATTTTATTACAATCAGTGTTTCATTTCTTATAAAAATGATAAATTGGTAGTATTATAGGCATTGTTCATACATACATTTTGTTCACTTCAGGCTTCATTGTATCAACATTAATAATAAGTAATACATTGTGGAATGACTTTGTACTTAAGTATTGATAAAATTGGTTTCAGTAAAACATGCTTGAATTCTAATTCAAATAAGAAAATACATCCTTCATGTAAAAATAATCAAATATCCTTAATATTTAACATTCTTTGTGAATTTACACTTATATATCTAACAGATTTACATCTTTGTCCTGTCTTTATTTGTCCACAGACTATATTATGTAAACCAAGTAGTTTGGTAATGGTTCATATTTTTTTTATTTACCACCACGCGTCACTGGCCATTTACACTTGCATCTGCTTCAGGCTTATCTTCTAAATCCCCATTTTGCTCTTCCTTAATGTCTAACTTAATTATCTTTGATTTATCATCACTGACACCATTTTCCGCGTTAATCTCGGTACTGTTACGTTTATTTTTAATTAAAATCCTTTTTTTCTTTACTCCTTTGCATTTTGCTTTGTATTTTTTTTCTAGGGCTAGGACATCGCGTCTATCGATTGTCCAGTCTATGATTGCTGTGTCAGCCCTTTTTATAGGGTTGTCATCTTCATTGTAAGTTGGTATATCTATGTTGAGTATGTTCATAACTTTTTCTAGTACATCATCTACATAGTAGTTGATTATAAGATCTGCTTTGTTATCCTGGAAAGAAATAGTTTCTTATTTAATGGTGGCTACCATTTTTGGTACCAGATGGCGCGAGAGTGGCAAGAGATTTTATGTCCAATCACTGCAACTGTCAAATATTGAGTCTAATGGTGTTGACACTACATAATTTACTATTGGGAGCTTCGATCAACAATAACAACTAGATATCGGGTCGGCGCAAGAAAATCGTCTCGACAAATAAGAGCTCACTTGAGAAGTGAGCTCTTATTTTGTTTAGTATGCTCCAAACACGGCCAACGTACTCACGTCTCACGAGTAATTGCAAGTTGCAAAAATAACAACCGAAAAAGCAGTATAACGGCCGGAGTGTCTTACTTTTGATAAGTACATAAAGTATAAGTTATATTTTAAGCTTTTAAACTAGTAAATAATATCAAATTAGACAAAATTATCAATTATAAACCAACGCCACCAATGTTTGTGCGTGTGTTGGCGATTCCTTGGCCAAGTCTCGCCAACATTTGTATAAACAGAACAGTGGATGCATGGAGTCGATTTGTATTGAAAAAATAAGAAATTGTATCGTTTCTTGCTCGTTCTTCTCCATAGGAATCTACACCTTGGAATGAGCAAATAGCTTCACTTTTAAATTTATATTGTTGTTGTTCAAAAGTGCCTTCCTGGTAAAACTGAAATAAATAATTTTGACTTAGACTTAGACTTTTAACGATAAAGTAAATAAACATATCATACACAAAAACGTACCGCTAATAAAAATTAGTGATGTATACTAAGATCCCGAAATGTTAATTTTCATATTATAAAATTATTTTAGTGTCCAACGCGACTCCATACATACCTCCTGTAGCGAAATTCGAAATTTGAAGAAGCAAAACGAAACAAAACAAAACGATATAGATCGCAAGACAATAATGGAAAAATTATCTTTATTTGTTCGACCTTAAGGTTGAATTCAAACTAGATATTGTATAACTTATGTCTTTTAATTTCTACATGACAGGAGTAAGAAAATACTTTTCTTGTCTTATATGACGAATGGTCGTAAGTATTAGATAATATTTTGACGATTTATGACTTTATTATTAGGTGCCATGGTTGTTATTAGGTTGAACTTAAAACTATTTTAAAACATTTTTCTCTGTTTGTTATTTTTTTACTATTATTATTCACACGGACAGAACTGGAGCTTGATTTTGTACGTAACCCTTTATCTAGTTGTTATTGTTGATCGAAGATTGGGAGAAAAACGAGAGCTTCATAGTAGCCTCCATTGAGAACATGATGAGTTAAAGTATTATTCAAGGTCATATGAGAAATCGATTATAGAGGCGGCGGCGCGCGGGATATGTAACTCAGGGCCGCGCGAGCACCGCGCTCCTTCTACACTCTTTTTATATTTGATGTGCTGACGTTTGGCCACTATCCCGCCTGGTGGTAAGCGATGATGCGGTCTTCGATGGAGGACGTCGTCCCATAAGCAACCTATTCACTCGGGCCTTCTTGAGGATTCAATAGAAAGATTCCCAAAATTGATAATAGTAGAGTACTTACATGTTTTGTAGGCTGTAAATTACAAATGACTAGTTTCCCATCATACTTCACTGTCTCTAAAGGCAAGTTGCCACTGGGTATAATTTGAAGAGTTGTTCCTAAGCATATACTCAAGTCGGCAATACTGAAACACAAAAATCACTAAGTTAGAAAAGGCATGAAGAAACTGTTTGCAGTAACTCCTTTAGATAGAGATTGTGCTATATACTTTCTTTTTATAATAATTTAATTGTAAAAAAATTATGTTTTTTTTATCATCCTCTTAATAACTGTGTTGATTGAAAATGAAGTCTCCTGACAGGCATGTATTCTTCTAACTTCATCAAACTACATTTTCCTACAAAAATTATAGTTAAAAAAATATAATCACCTAGAATGCCATTCCGCCATAGTGAGATCATTCTCTGGCAGACTATGTTCCCAGTCCAGTACTCCGTCATACAGTCGTCCTCTGCACGGTCTGCCTGTCACATGTTCCGCTGCACATGGTACTCCACTGCATTTCTTGCCCACTGTCTCTACGGGACTACTTCGCACAAATTGCCTGGAAGATGAGAAAATAATATCAATATATTACATAAGATATTCGGGTCAATAGTGATTGAATAACATAACGCCTGTTATTCCTGAAGGTGCGGGCAGAGGTGCACATTATGGCACTTAATGCCACTGTACTTACAATGTAACACCCAATTTTCACTATTTATTTTATGTGTCCCAGTCAGCCTATTATAAGCTTGTTATTTGCCATATACCGGACACAATTCCAGACTCCGTGCTGAGAATTTTTTTAAAACCCAGTAATATGTTGCCCAACCCGGGAATTGAAATTGCCCAGCAGTCGCACATGTGACAACTCGGCCATCGAGGCAGTCAATGGTGACTTTAAGACTGTAAAGTAAGTTGAGTAAATGCACATGACATGCAAACGACAGACTTTGTGTTGTTGTTATAAAAATATTTACAAGATAAATATTGAACAAAAATGTAAGCACCTAGGAAATACTGAATCTTACACACTGGTGTTTAAAGACTTATCTATTTAAATACTTAAAAATTGACAAACCTCTTACACAAATTACATTCATCAATGAACATATTGCCATGTAACTCGGCCAGATGCTTCCTAGAGAGTCCAGACTTTAGATGCAAGCCATCAATGTTCTGGCTGACTATGTAATGTACTTTGTTACATTCTACTAGCTTCTTGAGAATCATGTGCGTCTTTGTTGGCACTGCATCGGTAAAGGAAATGTTTGTTGCTGGTTTTTTGCCTTCTTTTTCTAAGGTCCATACTCCATTGGGGCCTCTGGAATGTTTTGTAATAGGTACATGTTAGAAAATCTATGATTTAGATAGACATTTAAGATTGAGAAGGTAGATCTCAATGATTGTAAATCTTTTTCAACAATTATACACTTAGATATGCAGCGATCATGGTTTAAAAAACAGCAATAAGTTAAATTTAATATTTTCATGAATGAAACTGCATATGTAATTTAATAAATATCTTATTTACCTAAAATCTGGTATTCCTGCTGAAGTACTGATGCCGGCCCCAGTATGTACTACCACATGTTTTGCTTGATCTATTAATTGAGCTAAAAGTTCACATTTTTTGTTAAACTTCTCCAACGAGTCAAATTTCTGTGAATTATAATTTACATACAATTATTTAATTATTCGATTTAATCTTATAATTAATTGATCTAAATAAAAATGCTAATTACGATCCTTTCTTTTACATACCTCTGGAACTCCTAGGATTCCTTTATTTTCATACGGAGATAATCCGTCGGCGTAATTGCAAGACATTCTGTCTGATTAAAACATAGATATTTTAATTGTACATATTTAATTGTTCAGTTTAGATTAGATTACAAAACAAACATTTTATCCACAGAGCATTTTGATTTGACATTTTTAATTTGTTTCATTTTGACATTGGCACAGACATAACATAACATAACATCACGCCTTTTATCCCAGACATTGTGAATTCAGGCGTTTCGCGCATAGAGTTGGGTTGTGTTGCACCTCGTTTGTATTACTGAGACTTCTTAGTTCTAAGGAGTGCTTTTAACATTAGTGATCTGATAATATTGCGACTCACTTATATTATTTTTTCATATTATCACTGATTTTTGGGATTAACCATTTCAATCAATAATCGACTAAGTAGTCTGAACATGTTTATCGGTAGAAGTTGACAGCAAAACGGGGACAACTCTAGTGTCAACTTCGATTTCAATCGTCGTCGTTCACTGACTTGTTTGTTGGCGTTTTTAATTCAATTTAATTTAATACTGATCAAAATACTGCTTTAGAAATATTTCTCGTGAGTTTTAATTTCTAAAAATGAATCGTAGAAGGGCCCATGATGATGAAGACGGATACGGTAAGCAAGAAAAAAATATTTTTCTTTGGTATTTTGTAGGTTAGACTATCGGTTTGATGACCCTTCGTAACTTTTGTTATAGAGCGTCTCAATCGCAAAAGACGTCGAGTATCAGAGAACCAGGAGATTGAGGATAGGCTTGAGTCTTTGATTCTGAGAGTTGGAGAGAAAAGCAGCTCAAGCTTAGAGAGTAATTTGGAAGGTCTGGCAAGTGTCCTAGAAGCAGATTTGAGTACGTTCAGAGTGAAAATCTTACGTATCCTCACTGACTGTGCTATCCGCATGCCGGAGAAATGCACCATATACGCTACGTTAGTTGGTCTTCTGAACGCCAAGAACTATAACTTTGGTGGTGAATTTGTTGATTACATTGTTAAAACATTTAAGGAAAACTTGAAAACTGGCAAATGGAATGCCGCGAGGTACTGTCTCAGGTTTATAGCTGATTTGGTGAACTGCCATGTGCTGGCAGCTTCCTCTCTGTTGACATTGCTGGAGACATTAGTGGACTGTGCTAATGAGGATGGAGTGCCACAAGTAAGGAGGGATTGGTTTGTGTTTGCTGTGCTGTCTGCACTGCCCTGGGTGGGCAGAGAACTCTATGAGAAGAAGGAATCTCAACTAGATCACTTGTTAACTACTATTGACATATTCTTGAACAAGCGCAGTAAGAAACACTGGCCTGCTCTCAAAGTATGGTCCACTGACACTCCCCATCTGCAGGAGGAGTATTTAGATTGTCTGTGGGCTCAAATAAAGAAGTTGAAACAAGATAACTGGTCAGAGAAACACATCCCGAGGCCTTACCTTGCGTTTGACTCAATTTTGTGTGAAGCCCTACAACACACACTTCCAGCTATCCAGGTTAGATATTTTCAATATTTTACAATAAGTTAATGATTTTAAAAAAAACATCTACGAAAAGATTTGTGGTGTGATTAATTTTCTAATATATGGATGTTTGAATCTTCATAGGATTGTCTGTATTGTTCACCTATTAATATTATCATAAATTCAAAATAGATATTGCATTTGTATTATTTGTAGTACTCCTACTATGACTTACATTACATATTGGTGATACATTACTCATTTGTGGTTATCTGTTTCCAGCCTCCACCTCACAATGACACAGATACATACCCTATGCCGAGGGTTATATTCCGTATGTTTGACTACACGGACTGTCCCGATGGCCCGGTACTGCCAGGAGCACATTCTATTGAGAGATTCCTTATTGAAGAACACCTTCATAACATACTGGAAGCATATCATTTGGAACGCAAGGAATGTGCAGCACAGCTTCTCTGTTTTCCTTACAAGGCGAAGATTCCTCTAGAATACTGTATTGTAGAGATAATCTTCGCTGAATTGTTCAACCTACCAAGACCTAGATACTTGGAGATTTGTTACGGATCTATCCTAATAGAACTCTGTAAGCTTCAGCCTTCTACAATGCCACAAGTGTTGGCCCAGGCTACGGAAATATTGTTTATGAGAATTGATACAATGAATGTTGCATGCTTTGATAGGTGAGTTGACATAATTATAAGGATGTTTATCTAATTAGAACAATGTGTTTAGGATTGATTGTGATGTCCACAAGTTGTTTTTATTAGAACTTAATTAGTTTTCTGGTTAAAATTGATAAGTAAAGTGAATTCTCAGTTACACAAAATGATTTACCTGTTAACTTACAAATATATGATTTGCTACAACTACACCCAAAACATTTTTCTTGAGATAAAATATACTTTGACTGAAATTTTCTATTTTCAGATTTGTCAACTGGTTCTCGTACCACTTGAGTAACTTCCAATATCGTTGGTCGTGGGAGGACTGGGAGGCATGCACCCAGTTAGACATGGACCATCCTAAACCTAGATTTGTTAGGGAAGTCCTTGGAAAATGTTTGAGGTATGACTTGAGTTTGTATTAATTAATTAGATACATAGTAAGAGAGACTGTCTAAGAAATGGCCAATGTTACATAAAAATGTATTATTTTCCAAGTCAATCATTCCTAAGAGTTATAAAACTTTGCATTGAGCTACAACTATATTTTTCTTCTTTCTTCTTATAGGTTGTCATACCATCAAAGAATAAAGGAAATGGTCCCAGAATCATTTGCAGCATTTGTTCCTCTCAAACCGGAACCTATTTACAAGTACTCCATGGAAGGAGCAGGTAAGAAAAACAATCAAAATAAACATATTTATAAAAAATATATTATACAAAAATATTATTAAACTTAATTTAAACTTATCGAACTTAAATATTTACATTCCAGTAACACAGGACATAGGATTTATGCAAGTTCTAGAACTTTCATTTTTTGATAGCCATACCAAACTGAAAAAGTTTTATTGTCGAAAACAATATTGGTATTTTTTTACAATTTAGGAAGTTTCTGCTTTTGCTTCTCGAGAAAAAGAGTTTCCAGTTACTCTTCTTGGCAGTAAATGCTTCTAAATTAATTGTATCATAACACTCCACATTTAATAAATAGCTTTCATTGGTCACTGCCAGTGCTCAGAGATCAATGACAGACTGCATTTAAAGCTACAGCACTGAGTATGAGTATTAAGTTTAAGACAACATTCAGTCTATTCCATAGCCATTAGTTCTAGTAAGCTGAATGGCCGGTCTTTACCTTCTCGGGGTTCTTCATAATAATCCTCACTAGTCATATTTTCTAAATTTTCTTCGTCATTGTCAAATGGCGAATCTTCGTCTTCCTCCCCATATTCGTCTGAAATATTGATATTTTTGTCTTTTTTATTTTTGTCTTCTAGGGAATACAGGAACTCTTCAATGTCGTCGTCGAGCGTGACATATTGTTCATGTTTCTCGCTTTGGCTTTGTTTCTGTTCCTCCTGTGTTGTACTTAAACGTTCTGTAGTAAATGCATCAATCTCGTCATCCATTGTAAACCCTCCGAACAGATCGGTCAGTATATCTTGTGTTGCTGACTTCTCTGTTGTACTGGGGGTAGTAGTCATCGTGAATTTGTCGGGGCTCTTCACTGTTTCACTCGATGATTGTAAAGCTCCTTCAGTAGTAAGGTTATAATGTTTCTTCTTTTTGCATTTTGTTTTATTCTTTGGAACAGAATACGGTGATGCAACGACTGTATTTTCGGTGGTTGTTGATTGATATTCTATATTATTATCATCATCATCAGCGTCTTCATTACCATCACCATCATCTGATTTGGTTTCTTTTGTTATGGCCGCAGTGGAAAAGATGTATTCCGCACCATCTTTTGATGCTGTTTGATCTGTCAAATTTTCTAAATCATCATCATTGGTATATTCCTGATCTTCGTACGTACCTGGTATGGTTTGTTTCATTTTAAATTCAATATCTTGCTCTGTTTGTTCTGTGGTGGAGCTGGTTTGTGTAAGGTTTTTCGGATTAACAAAGCCATAATCCTTGTGATCATCTTTTTTTTTATCAACATCTGGGTTTCTAGGAGTGCTCGCAGGAATGTATCCTTGGAATTTAGAGGCTTTTCTTCTTGCTGGATTTTGAAGGGGTGATTGACTCGTTCGATTTTTATCGAGAGATATACTTGCTGACCATTTGTCGTGATTCACCGATGTGCCCTTTTGCATCAATGTGGATTGTCTGAAACGGTTTTTACTCTTCGGTTGCGTGGTCACAACCGACTGTTCGGTGTCCACGGCGGTGCTCGATGATGTCGTAGTAGATGTGGTTGTAACATTGGTTGTAGCCAGTTTAGCGGTTGTCGTAGTTCGCGGCGTCGAGCTGGATGTAGTTGGACTTGATGTACTTGTTGTACTTTGTGCCTTATGTACTTTGATGTCGCGAATAGAATTTGTCCCGCTGCTTGCGGCAGAGGTCGCTTGGGGTGTCAAGTCATCTGATGGTTTCTTAATAGGAAACGTTCGTGTTGGCTTAGCTGTCGTCGTCGTCGTTGTGGTTGTTGTTGTTGTGGTGGTGCGTTTATGTTTTTTAATTTTTTCTTGTTTGTTGAACTTTGGTGGCGGACGTGTACGCTTCTTAGGTTTAGGGGCGGGTGTCGTTGTAGTGGTGGTGGTAGTTGTTGTGCTTGTCGACGGACTCACTTCTTCTACAGAATCCTCAACTTCTTCCGAACTTTGTTCACTTAATGTTGTTGACAATGGTGTTGTTGTCGTAATAGCTTCGCTATTTACCTTAGTACTCTTTTCTCTTTGCGATGCCATTGGAGTGGTTTTTGTGAAAGCTCCTAAAATATTAGCCCACTCTAACGAAGTGTCTTCCATTGTCAGACTTTGAGCAGTTATTATGTCTGGCGACACCGTGGTCAGGCGACCAAGTTTTATATGTTCATGCTTTTTCGGTGGTTTCTTTCCTGCGTTCGGTTTTCGTACATTCTTGTTACTCTTACTACCAACGTCGTGATATTCAAAATCAGTGTAATTCAAGTTTATTGGTCTAAAGGCGGAGTCAACTGACAAATCAAGGTCGGAGAATTGAGTATCTAATACTTGGGGGCTTGGACGGAAATCTGGAAGTGTATGTTTCGATGGTTTGTT